GAAACAGAGCCACATCGCCATCCAGTGGGTGGAAGTGGGACACATTGAGATGAAATCTGTCCTAGATCATGGATTACTCAGGCTTCCTTACCTCTCTCCATCTTTCTTCATCACTCAGCCTACATATCACCATAAATGCGGTGCATAGAATGGCAGTGTTTTTTTCTTCTTCTTTTTAATTGGTTCAATATCTATCTTATATATAATATCTTATAATATAATATCTTCAATATCATCTGAATTGAACTGATTATGTTTAGTCGGTGAAGGCAGACACAGCTGACAAAGTAACATGATACTGGCCGATTAATGAAATATGTATTTGATTGGGAGAGTGTGAATACTGTACGTTAAGAGTGAAAAGAGGGAAACCGAGAGAGAGAGAGAGAGAGAGAGAGAGAGAGAGAGAGAGAGAGAGAGACTGAGCGCGCAAGCCAGGCTCAGGGAATCAAAACGTTCTTATTAATCTGAGAATTTTCTCAGATGACGCAAAGACTGTGACTCTCACTCCATCTCTCTCTTTCTCACCCTCTGTCCATTCTTTCCACATGTCCCTTTCCTAATGCCTCAATCTTGTTGGATGGGAGACGGCACAACAGAACAAGTAAGACTATCACCAACTACACATCACTGCTGTTGTTTCTGTTTAAACTTGTCCTTAACCCTCTCAATGTAAGAAATTTATATTTTTGTTCACACTGCTTCATTTAATTCAGCGTGTTTTATTATGAAATGCTCAATGTATAGTTGACAAAGTCATCTACATGAGTTCATGCACTAGTTATGTGCATGAACTCATGCGAGGACTTTGTCTACAATGTTTGAGCATTTCATAATATTACAAGCCAAATTGATCATATCATTGATCATCCATGATCGTTGAAGTGCATCTTTTAAATTGCTCTAGTCATTGGTGTTATTGCTGATGTCACTGCTCAAAACTTAACAGCATATATCAGTTAACTAATGGCCCAAGTCTGGGATTCTTTGAGTGGTTTGGTAGTGTGAGGTGTCAGAAAGAGTTTTAAGAGTGCAGATTATGAATGTCCTCATGCTTCATTAAAGGCACTTCTCAAACAGGAGTCAATCAGCCGTGGATAGATTGCTAGTTTGGGTCATTGGTGAGAGATGATTTATCACAATAAGTAAAAACCTCTGTGGCTTCAGAAATGAACTGACGAAAGAGTTGATTCTGCAGACATGGAGCTTAAAGACAGATTGACAGGGATTTAGGAAGGTAAAATGAGGGTTCCTGCAGGGCTCGATTAGGAAAAAACTTGCAGGACAGAAAAAGAGAAAGACAGAGAGAGGGGGAATTGGGGATTTATAAATAGCAAAGCTTTAGCAGGGTGAGGCGAGCAGATGTGATAGACAGTCTGTGCTTAAGGAGTTCAAACAACAGATTAATACACTCAGATTATAGTCAGAGATAGAGGGGTAAGGGGGAGGCTGTGTGCAAGTGTGTGTGTGTGTGGATGTGGTTAAGAAAAGATGACCCCGTACACGTCGTCTGCACATGCAGAAAAAGCCCCCAGATGGACAAACACGCATACCTGCATGTTCTTACTTCACTGTATACTTACTTCTCATTACTTTACATCAGTTTTCTAAACGTGCGAGAGTATAAACAATGCAGGAGATTGGTTAGCTTGGAAATAATGTGCTAGTTGTCTTGAAGAAGTGTGAATATGTTTGTATTAGTGTTCTGGCATTCAATTTGTAGACTGCATGCAGTACAAGGTCTAAATCAATATTTTTGTCTTGTTAAACTTCCTTAAAAAAAATCATGCTTAGAATATATCTAGAATTAAGATTCTTCCTTTCTTATTTCTGCTATTTCCATATTTATTTATTTAATGATTATTGTAAAGCTGGATATATGCTCAGCGTGGGGCCTGATTAGCCTTTCGGTTTTATAATTTTGCAACAGTTTTCTGATCCCATTTTGTCCCGTACATACACCATCTGTTCACTGAAATAATGATGCGAGTTTAGCTGAATATAATACAGATTGTTGAATTATCCCAATTACATTTTGCACAACATATTTAATGGAAACTCAACCACTTTCTGTACACCACAGTGACTCTTAGAAATCTCTAGAATCAGTTCTAATCTCGTGCATGAAATGGCCTGTTTTAAAGGGATAGTTGACTACAAAATGAATCATCAAAAATGATCTAAACTTCACCTTTTGCTTATCAGTTGAATTGATATTGTTTTAAGGCTGTTTTGTATTCCTGCAGCTCAAACGGGAATGCATGGACGGATAAAATGTATACCTTGAATGCAATGTTAGATCCTTTAAAACATCTGCCATTGCTGAAAATACTGATCAAGAGAGTAATTTATTGCAGTGGATAACTGAAATGTCGAACAGTATCTTATTTGCTGTAACACAAATAATTCCTGTAGCTCATATAGTACAGTACTATAGGTTATATGTTTGAGGGGAATGTATGATGCAACTGATCAAATATATATACATGTTTAATGCAAATCTCAAATATGCATGGTTGGGTGTAGTTTGCATAGTTCATGTGTGAGGTTAAAAGACAACTGTGGTGTCCAGTCCACCACTGTGTTGCTTTTATTTTCTCACTGAGGCAGGGAGTTAAAGGATTATATCTCTATCCCTTTGCAAAGCCCACACCAAACAATCAAGCTCAGAAAATAATCCTCACTCCTCACACTGACCACACAATCAGACATCTGAACACATACTCTTGTATCAGTGATTCATTGATATTTTTGAGGTGGGTAACCCTATATATATATATACAGAAACAGAATGTAGGTCACATGTAGGTTGAAGTTCGTATTCTTCAATAGTTCTCCTGTTTAACTTTATGCACTAACTGGAAAATTGCATCTGCAATGTGACACAAATGTAGTTGTTCACGGTATACTTGTTGCATAACCTAATATCTTTGTTTGAAATTGTTTTTTTTTCTACACCGTCACTGACGCTCCAGAAAATAAGGGCAGCCAAACCACAAGAAAGGCATTCTTATCTCCTCCAGTTTACCTGCTGAAAGCCTAAGGTGGTTAGAGCAGGTGTCTGGTTTGTTTTGATGGTTTTAATAAGGGTTTTAGGCACTTGTCAACTGAGACTATCTAAACCAGGCTTGGTCAAGGTTTAACTCCTTCTTACTAATCTCTTTCTCACTTTTTAATGCTTATTGTGATTCTTGGCTAGCTTTCTAAAGAGATTCCCCCAAGCCTTTCTCTCTTCTAGGGATTTGGGTTTGTCCACAACTTCAAGTTTTCTGATTAAAGGAGTGAAAGTGATAGGCCTATCTCTCCATCTCAAAAACTTCTTCGGGCACTCTGCATAATACCCCAGCCAGAATCTTTCCTTTCCACTCTTTATGATCTAAAAGGAGGCCGACCCAGATTGGGTTTGTTTTTTTTGTTTTTTTGCTTGTTTTTGGCAAGCTGTAGTTTTGCCACTGGCTAATCGTTTCATCCATTCCATTCCTAAGCATCCTGTTCTGTCATAAAGAGCTTGCCAGTGTAAATCAAACCTGTTCTGTTTGTTATGGCTAAAGTCCAGCAGCTTAGCTATAGGCTAAGCTTCAGGCATTTGTTTGGTTGCTTGTTTGAGGAATTATCTCAGGTAATGTTCGTCAAGTGTCGGTAAGTGGAGAAAACAAATAGTGTCTAATGCTGTGTAGAGTGATAGTCCATGCCTCGGGATGCGGAAGCAACCAGCAAGTTAAGACGTAATTTTATTTTTGTGATTGAGGTTTTGATGTTGTTCACTGAAAATTATAATACTGAGTTGCTATGGGTTTTGTTTAAACCCTTTGATCTTTAGTTTCACTTTGCACCCCCATAACTATTATTTGAATAAATTAAAGACGAACCCAGACCCCTCTTAAATCCACCGAATGCTTGCTTTGCATGCATTGATGTTCAATTTATTTTTACACTGCAGCTCTTTGGAATGCTTCATTCTGATTGGTCAGTTGTGGAATTCAGTGTTCACCGTGGCAACGCAGTATATCAGATATTCATGTCTCTCACTGTGGATTCGGATATTTCTTGTTTCAAACCATCTTGTCTGATGATTGTAAGAGCTGAGAGGACTTCAGTATTTATATTACTGTAAAATCATTAAGATGTTTGTCTTGTTGCTAGGCTGATTGATTTGTACATGTATAAGGATAAAGCAATTTAAACACAAACCAGTATTTAATCTCCATATTTATTTATTTAATAATTATAGTAAAGATATGTATAGATATGCACCACATTGGGCCTGATTAGCCTGTCGGTTATAATTTTGCTATAATTTTCTAATCGAACATTATCTGCACTCAAATAATGATGCACGTTTTGCTGGATATCATACCGATTGTTGAATTATCCCAATTACATTTTACACAAAATATATAATAGAAACTCAACCAGTAGTTTATATACGCCACAGTGACTTTTTATTTGGAGTCTCTTGGATCTCAGGCATGAAATGGCATGTTTTAAAGGGATAGTTGACTACAATATGAAAATGATGTCCTCATGTACTTATTTACCCTCATGTGGTTCCAAACCTGTATGACTTGTTTTTTGTAATACAAAAAACAAGATATTTTGGGATATTGTGAGTGAATTATGTTTCATTGTACTCTCTAAAATTGCTGGGTTGTTTTAACCCAACTTTGGGTCAAATATGGACAAACCCAGCCATTGGGTTAAATTTTTTAATTGTATTTTTAACCCAATGTTTGGGATTGTCCATATTTGACCCAAAGTTGGGTTAAAACAACCCAGCATTTTTAGAGTGTAAGAAAGAATAGTTGCTGCTTTGTGTTACTACATCATTGCAAAGGCCATCAAGTGTGTGTTTTTTTTTCTTTTTCTTGAATTCTTCTGAAGTCTATGTGATTTACTTGTTGACTGTCATTGCACAGCAATGTTTCACTAAAATCCTGGCCTTTTTTGAACCTGTGACCTCCCACTTTGGTGTGCCTGAACATTATATATTGAGTTACAATCATGTTACGGCCAAAAAAAGGGATTAGTAGAATGTAGCAGCGCTTAATTTTTATAGGTGCAGTTCTGGCATGTTGTTGCCTGTGTTTCAATGTGAAGACCTTTGTGAAAACTGGTTTAAGCTCACGACTTCAGGGAAAATTGTGAGGTATTGTAAAAAGAGATGCAGAATCACGGGTCATAAGCTTCTCTCTCTCTCTCTTTCTCTCTTCCAATGAGGCTTCACAGAGGATTATGTATGTGCAATTGAAACTTGGCAAATGACTTTTCTCCCTCCCCCTCCAAAAAAAAAAAAAAAAGAAAAATCATTTTAGCAATGTTGCCAATCCGTCTTTATGTCTGAGCAGCAACTGTTGTTTTAGTTTAAATCTGAGATGAAGAACAAACAGATGAACAGGACAGGGAACATCCAGAAAAAGAAAGAGAAATGGAGGTCAAAGAATAAGAATCACACAGCACCAAAAAACAGCATGGATAAAATGGGCAAAAAGGCCAAGACGGCGAACTCGGGTAAGTATATCTCTCGTCTAATTATTTTAAGACAAAAGAGATGAGCATTATTCTTCATGATGATACAATTCACTAATGTTTGTTATAAATATAAATGCCACTGTCTTTCAGCTCTTGCTTTCTTCAGAACATGTGTGTTTATTCTACATGTCTCATTACTCAACCAGTTTCTCTTTCTTCAATCAGTGTCCAGTTTCATGCAGATGTTTATAATGGAGCGAGGTTGATCAAATGTTTATTGGCCCCACTTGGCAGTCATATGTTTTTGTAAAGGAGCAGGAGTTATTCCCATGTTGAGGTTTGTGTATATGGGTGTGCTTGAAAAGTAGCAGTTTAGAAGATTAAAAGATTTGAAGGGGGTTAAAATGTTTCCTGTGAGGCTTTGTGGTTTTGTGTCTTTGTGATCCATGATCTCTATGCTTTTCAAACCAAAAAAGACGGCCTCCATTTCAGCATCATTCGATTTCTCTTTATAAAAGAGGCGGAGCCTGAAAAACAGTTGTAAGATGCGCATGACATGAGGTGAAAATCTCTTGCATGACTGTTTCAGATGATCATACGGATCACAGAATTGCCAACTGCTTGATGGCGATGAGAAAAAGTGGCATGTTGTGTGTGGTGCAGATGTCCTGGGAAGCTTTTAATAAACTGTTGTTTATAAATGTATGCAATTTAAATTGTCAATACAAAGACTTGGTCATAGTCAGTCATAAATCAATCATTTAAAGCCTATGCTGTTTGACCAACCCGGTCTCATCCCAAGACGTCATATAACTGACGTTTCGGGACGTCTTTTGACCATACGTCAATATTCGCCTTTTTAGGGCCCCCTTAAACGTCGGTAGATGAGGTTATGGGATCCTAACTCTACCCCAGACCTAAACCTAACCCTAAACCTAACCCGTCACCTAACTGACGTTAAAGGTAAAGCGTCAGTTGTATGACGGCCCGGGATCGCCATCTACCGACGTTTAAGGGGGCCCTAAAAAGGCGGATATTGACGTATGGTCAAAATACGTCCCAAAACGTCAGTTATATGACTTTTTGGGATGAGACTGTGTTAGTTTGACAGTCAAATGAGGCCTTGCAGTACATTGGCCTCCAGTGTCATGAGCACAGATCTCGACAGATGAAAATAAAATTGACCAATTATGGTAATATGGGGTGTTATGTGTCAGCATGCTCACATTAACGCAGCAGATGGTCGTTCAAGGCTTACAGATGCAATTACATGAACTTATCACTCTCTAGCTGTAATATTCACCTATGTTGCTGATGTGAAACATTTGTGGCAAGTCTATCCTCGTAAGGCTGTTAATCTTATCCACAACTACAATTTGGACATCTCTAATACGACTTTTATACACAAACTAGTTTGTTGTCATTGTGGTCAATTGTTTTGCATTGCTACCACTGCTCATTTGCATTATAGAAAGAGAGTTTGGGGTATTGGGAAATATATTTTTCCCAATGTATATTTCCCAGTGTATATTTCCATGCTTTTGAAAGTCCTCCATTACTGGTGTACCGTATGTGTAACAGAATATTTTTAACACACTCTACCAATCCAATTTGGGGTCGGTAATTTTTTGAAAGAAATTAATATTTTTACAGATCCGTCAGTGCATTAAACTGACAGTAAAGACTTTTCCATCTTGATACAAAAGGTTTTCTTTTCAAATAAATGGTGTTCTTTAGAACGTTCAATTCAACAAAGAATGATGAAAACTTTATCACGGTTTCCTCAAAAATATTTTGCAATATCACTATTTTTACTGTATGTTTGATCAAATAAATGCAGTCTTGGTGAGCATAAGATACATTTAAAAAAATAATTTAAAAAAAAAACACCCTATGACATCACTACTGGTGTGACCAGAGAATAAAAGGGGGCTTGTAGCACACATTATCCTCTTTCTTGTCTTCAGGAGCCTTTTTTTTTTTGTAACGTGTTGAAGGCATTTATGGCAGCAAAATCTTTCAGGATAGCCTACATCTGTGTCAGTACTATCTGACAACTGATGATACATACGATCTGTGCCTGATTTCCTTGGGTGAACTCAGTTGCTCACTCAGTCCTTGAGGTGTCTGAATGTGAGCATTGTGAGAGTTTCTCAATAAAGAAACTCTGCTCTCGTTTGTCCCTTCTCTCAAGGGATTTGGGACAATCATCTGTGCCCTGTGCATCAGGATCTGCTGCAGCTGAGGCGAGGAGGAAACTGAGATTGTGGGGCTTGAAGATGGAGCTTGCTGAGAAATTCGAGAAAGATACGGATCTTTCTCATTCTTAGCTGACAAGTCCAAGCTATTGGATGAGGTTGTGTTATTGCTCACATCCTCTGAAATAGTAGCGAGTGTGCTCTTGGTTTCAGGCCAAGAAGAGCAGGATTTGGCTGTTGTGGACGATGGCGTGAATAAATGTCTCTTTGCCCAGTGTATGATGAGCTACTGGAGGGTATGTCTTGGTTCACAGACAGATTATATCTGCCATGACGATGTGAGAGATGTGAGCTTGCTCGCAACAAGTTAGACGAGTGATATCTATCTGGTCATAATCGTCCAGCTATCTCTCGCTGGGGGAGGCATCGACTTTGAAGGCTCCCACTCTGCTGCGTGTGACATCACGCTTGAACGGCAGAGCATATGCGGGATCGGCTCAGGCCGGGGCTTCCCTTCGCACAATACCGTATAACTTCAAATAATATCCCAGGCTTTTATTTTCCCAAATAGTCAAACTGCACCGGCTTGTATTTGAGACAGGCGTCTATATGAGACCAGCCTTTATAATTTAGTGTTGAGATGTTGTTCATTGAGTCTCTGAAAATCTCCAAATGCTTCACGTTAAACTGTGGTCGTCCAACCTTTAACTATTGTGTCAACTGATTTGATTAAAATGCGCGAGGGAGAGAGAGCAAGACAGCGTTTTTTTCCTTTTCCTCCTCCAAGACAGCGCAAGACTCCTTTTCCTCCTCCAAGGAGTAGAGCGCAGAGTAGGCATGATCCCAGGAAAAGAAAACAGGATTTGAAGGAAGTAATCCAGAGTAAACGTGCACAGGGTATATAGGATGCGGAATCAAATAACATCTGCCTCCTTTTCCCCTAACCCCCGCCCTGAGGTGACTGAGGTCAGGTGGGGTGTGTTAGAGTTTTCCAACATGTGCTTACACCAGGCCCTGACGCTGTTTTATTATTTTTATTATTTGCTTATTTACTTGATAATTTACTTATTGGTTCGGTGCAGGATACTGGGGTACTGGGCATACTGGGGCAGGATACTGCAGAATACTGGGGTTGAGCGTAGTTAGGCCTCCTCTTGTTTTAGAGTAATTTTGCTGATGCCTCCACTCTTAGTATCTGCCCAAGTTGGCACTATCGAGTCGTCGGCTCTCGCTTTAGAGAGGCATCCTGCTGAGGATTCCGTACCCAGAGCTCTGGCTGGATAGCAGTATCAAGATGTTGTTACTGTAGGTCTCCTCTCATGAATCCTCCACTTATCAGGGGTGTGACCCTGTAGTGACAGGTACGATATATTTTTCATCCTTGGTCATATTTCCTTTAAGATAGAGGCATCAACCATTAGAGGCTAAGTCTAATGGGCTATGCTTACCAGAAAAACCTTGACCCCTTGCATGACAGCCTGAGTTCACTGGAGACATAGAGTGAAGAGTAGGATGTTTAAATGATCATAATTGTCTATTTACCTTGGCATCTCTTCCTTTATTTCTCTTGACTCTTGCAGATAGAATGACGAATAAGCATTTGGGCAACCAGGCAAGTGCAGCATTGCAGATGGACCATGGAGTGCAAGCAGAATTAAAAGACTCCACACACCAACAATGCGGCTGGTTTTCACGCAACCTGCTCCTCGCCCTCACTGTGATAGGTGCGTACGTGCCTCTGTGTGTGTGTACATACATTAATATGTGGGAGTGTTTGTATACAACTTCAGATGAAGTTGTGGAAGTTGTCTGTGTCTCCTTCTTTGGAAGTTCAGAGAAGTTTGCCAGTTAGGTCACAATGAGGTGATAACAGGAGACACTGTATTATTGCCAAACACTGTTGATAATATACGGGAAGAGATAAGATTATCCCATATGAGAAAGGCGTATTAAATGCGTAGCAGCTAATAAAATAATAAAAAAAAAGATAATAAAAGGTCTTGAAAACTAAAATATTGTTATCATGGGCCCAAAAACCTATAAGTGGACCTAAAACTTATAAGTGGGCTTATAAATTGTTGAAAAAAATGTATAAATTGTAAATTTTAAAAATGTATGAAATTATATTTTCATTTTAGTTCCAGTCAGGCTTCATTTTTATCTTTCATCTACTATTTCCTTATACTTGCATTCATATAAACCTTGTCTGTGGTTTCATAACTGTGGTCATCTGTCAAACCACAGACAAATACCAATGAGCAAGTTCTCTGCAACAATGTTTGGCCCCATGTAGTGACACTGTTTATACAGCAGTAGTTTGAGATGTTGCAGATGCAGGACAGTTATGCAGTGGTGCTTGTGAAAAACCAAGAATTCTTCAATGCTATGATTCATACACCTTTTAATAAGCAGGCCGAACATAACCGGTGTAATCGCCACCCTCTCACAGGTGTAATAGCAGGCACAGTGATGGGAATGATGCTGCGTTATGTTCCTGATTTGGACTCAAACAATCTCATGCTGATTTCCTTTCCGGGAGACGTACTGATGAGAATGCTGAAGATGCTCATCCTGCCCCTCATCATCTCCAGTCTCATTACAGGTTAGGCCATGAGCACATGCTCTAACAAGCACTTTTTTTGCTTGTTAAATGCTGTTAAGTGCCTACAGCACAAGAAAAAAAGCCATTAATCGTTGTTGATGCAGTATCTCTCTCTCTCTCTCTCCTTCCTGTCTTGCAGGCCTGGCCGGTCTGGATGCTCGCTCCAGTGGAAGAATGGGCACCAGAGCAATGGTGTACTACATGTCCACCACAGTTATTGCTGCTGTTCTAGGTGTCATACTGGTGCTTGGCATACACCCTGGGAACCCAAAACTCAGATCTGGTCAGGTCAGCTCTGCCCCCAAGAACCAAGAGGTCAGCAGTCTGGATGCCTTTCTGGATCTGATCCGAAACCTTTTCCCAGAGAACCTGGTTCAGGCCAGTTTTCAACAGGTAAAAAGGAGTGTCTGTGCTTTCAGAATTTATGTCTCTGATGGACAGTTTATCTTCTTTCGTCTTTTTGCTTTTCTGTCATTTGGAAAATGTTAATCTTTCAGAACAGTGGCGCAGAGGGTAGCAGGTTGTTGGTGCTGTGTAAGGAGATGTGCTTACGGGAACCTGGGTTTGAGTTCAACCAGGGTCATATTTCATTTGATCGATGGTTTTTTGCTGTCTGCAGCCAATGATTCACAGCTGTTGTTTTTTTGCATTGCTTGTTCATGGCTTTTGAGCGTGAGGACAAGCGTCACACAATCTATCCTCTCCATCTGCCTAATTTGTCTTGCTTCTAACAATTGACAGATGAATTTGTGTGTAGACTTTGTAAAACAATCAATCTGAGAATCTCTTTCTCTTCTCTTTTAAAGTGCCCCTATTATGCTATTTTAAATGTTCTTAATTTTGTTTTGGAGGTGAACTACAACAGGTTTACATCCAAGGTCAAAAACACTTTAATTTTCTCATAATATACAGTACTCTTTTCTTACAGTATCTAAAAAAACGGCTAGATAAAGGATTCATTATTTCGAGACTCCTCCTTTCCAAAAGCCTACTCTGCTCTGATTGGTCAGATGGTCTTGTCTGTTGTGATTGGTCTAGCTTACACAGTATGGCAAAAATGGAAAGCATATTGCCATTTGAATTTCAGCCTCTGATGCTTCCTAATTACTTGTATACACAGTGAAATGAACAGTAAAAATGGTGTCAGTTTAAGGCTATGTTTACACGGAAAGGATTCTGAAGAGAAAACGCAAAAGTGGCGTTGCGTTATCACTTTTTATTTTGCGTTTAGACGAGCGTTTTGGGTGGGAAATCCGCGTGCATAAGGTGACGCAAAAGAGTGTGAAATTCAATGTAGTATGCACTCCAGGGGGCTAGGTGGCAACGTGAAGCACTGCCACACCAAGTCCAACACCAAGACTTTTGCGTTTTTACCATTTACACAGGAACGCGGCGGTGGAGCGTTTTAAAGATTTCCACTCTGGAGGGTGGTTTCACTTTTTTGCGTTTTTAATCCCCAAAAACGCTGTCATCGTGTAAACGAAAGGCACATCCGATAAAATATTTTTACGTTTTCACCCGTGAGCGTTCTCGTGTAAACAGGCCCTAAATGTATCATTTCCTGCATGAGTCCTCATCCTTTGGAATTGCATGCAACGTTGAACGTAGCGCAGAAAAGTGTTCTCGACATGTTATAGCAATGTGGTGGTGTTGACGTGTTGCTTGCTTCTTAGCTACAACTACAGTGTTTAAGGGTGGGTCAAAGTCCTTAGTAAACGTTGTTTGCAGGCAGCAAATGAAGACCATTGGCTGGCATTATGCAAATTTGTTACAATCCTTAGGTATGTTACAGAAGTGGGATTGGAGTTGCTATGAAAAAAGCATAATAGATAGTACTTTAAAGGTTGCATATTTATATAGCCATCCACGGATGCATGATTATTTTATTATTTGCATGTAAGCATAGTTTTTTCCAGCTGTGACCTAACAGCAAAAGTTAGAGTCAAATTATCACTTACATTGCAAGATAATTGTGTGTTTAGTTGTATTTCCTAAAAAGTTATCAGTTAATTTAGTTAAAAGAGCCATATTTTACTTGTTTTTTAATTTTGGAATGACACCGTTCGGGTGTCACTATGCACACTGTAAAATATTTGTGAATTTCTGTTCAGATACCGTGCAATCGAACTGCTAGTGATGACCAATTTTGAATTTCAAGCTTGGAAACCTTTATGAATCTTTTGTATTGAATCAGTAGTTTAGACCGTGTATTAAACGAACAAATTCACTTGATTTCAGTAAAGGATCATAGCTGTTTCAAAACGTTTCAAAATTTCAATGAATAACCACACTGGTGGGCTATGATATCTGTGAACCCATGAACCCCAGCGGCGAACCGTTCAACAAGTTTCGATGGGTTTACCTGATCTCTGATCAGTTTTATTGATTTGTCAACATTTTAATTAGACATAATTAAAAGGAATAATAGTTAATAGTCTCTTATTGGCCTGTTTAGCTGAGCCATCCATGATAAAACAAAACAAGAAAGAAGAAAATATATTATACAGACACTTGATATTTAATCGTATAAGTTGATCAGTCAATTGCATTTGGTAGATTTTACTTTAAAAAAAAAATTGCAATGGGTTTCTAAAAGTTTTTTAAGCATGTTTTGGCTTGAGTTTTTGGTGCATTTGCATTGTTCTGACCAGCAGGTGTCAGTGTGTGACATTTCGAACACTTCGAAACAGTGAATCATTTTGCGAAGCAATTGGTTCAGTCGATTCAAAGCTTTGTTTCTCCCATCACTAAATCCAACATAAATGTCTCAGAATCTTTTCTCCATGAAACCAAAACACTGAGGCGGTACTTTGGTTAATACAAACGCATAATGCACATTAAACAATGACAGGAACCAACAAGAGACAACAGAAACTCAGGGCTTTATATACAAGGGATGCTAAATCAGACACAGGTGCAAATTATAGGTAACCATGGACACAAACTGGGACACAATCAGTAACCTAGGAGACAGATAAGAAGCGGGAAAAGGAAACAGGAATGCAACTCAAGGAAACAAGGAAACCGAACAAGCCTGATACGTTCACTCTTTTTAAAATTAATTTAAAGAGACCGTATGTTCACACTGTGCTTTACATTTAGTATTGCAGAAGCACATGTTCTTCCATTTACTCTAAATGTAGTGATGCTTTTGAATATTTAATCTAATCACAGTGACAGTCCATTAACACAGCAGATGATAAACTTTACTGAGGATAGAGACTATTTAAATATGATCAAATCAATTGCCATGCAGGGAATTCTGGGAACATCCATGTTTTCCACTGTTAATTATTAGGGTAATATTTCTTACTTCTAAGATTTTTTTTTTATTATTTTACTAAAAACATATCTGCTAGACTGTAATTCATATAACGTTTTACTTATACTTAGCCTATAAAATATTTAGACTAAAATATTCTGTTTAGCTTTAATGTAAAAATAAATTTGTTTTGCTTTTTACATTGTTTTACAGAATGATCATCGATCATCTTGCTTCTCTTTTCAGGTTCAAACAGTGCTGAAAAAAGTACCTGTCGCCGTCCAGAACCAAACAGAACCGATCATTGTCAGTCGGAAGAAACTGGAAATGAAGTGGGGAATGAATGTTTTAGGTTAGAGGATATTCAGTTTTTCTGCATTTGAAACACAAAAAAGCAGCATAAATGTAATTAAGTATCAAACAAATATAAAAAGTGTTGTTTAAATTCTAAATGTTGCTGCGTTCTTGGAAAATAGATTTATTATTTATTCCATTTCATTGTTTTTAATTGTAAATTTGATTTACTTGTAAGGTTTGATTGGGTTCTTCATCACGTTTGGTATCTACATGGGGAAAATGGGAGAGAGGGGGAAGCTCATGTCTGATTTCTTCAACATCCTTAATGAGATCATTATGAAGATGGTGTCCATGATCATGTGGTCAGTATTCTGCAGTTATTAGAATTCCAGTATACTATAAACAATAAACACTATAAACTCAGCATGTTTTGATTCCTATGACATAGAATAAAACAGGCGAGAGAAGTGTAAAACGTTTAAATCTGTCAAACATGTTCAAAGGTGATCACAGAGTGAGCAAATTAAAGTATAAAAGTATAGCGTGTAAGAAAGAGAGTGAGGAATTTTTCAGGAAGAGAACAGGACAAGAATGAGAGAGAGAGCAGAATCATATTTGTGTTCCCATGAGTAAACGTGGGAGTTTTATTGGATGTAATACATCCTCCGACACATTGACCGCAGACAGATACCCACACACTGACAGACATAACTGAAAACAGAGACAGAGCAGATTTTTTTAATCATGTCTGCAGAAATGAAGAGCTTGATCCATAAATCTAACAGGGCATTTTACAGCACAAATGAAGTGAGATGGGATGGAACATGTTCGTTTCATATTCTAATGCATTTTTAACATTAAAAGAACAAACACAGAATAATTAAATACCCCAAAGCAAAGCATATGACAAAAAAAGACAGACTCCACTCAGCCCTGAGACCGTCCCATCTGTAACTAACTGTGTCCTGTGTTTTCCGCTCACAGTATGTAAACTGTTCAAATGCTACAATAAACATCATCTGTTGCTTACAATAACAGACGATGAAATATTTATACACAGCATTTTAGATGATGAGCTAAATTTAAACCACATAAGTAGTAACGTGTTCTCATTTGGCACTCGGGTTGCAAAACTGGATAAACATGATGATCCTTTTGTGTGAGACTCTCTCTTTCTAAAACATAAATGCTGCTAATTTATACTCTGTACGGCTTATATAATGTCTTTGTACTAAAGTTAAAAGAAAATATTAAAATAGACATTGATTCATTCTGTATAAATATAGCATTATTCTAATACAAATGAAGAGAAATATTTTCAATGCAATTCAGGTTTATTTGTATAGTACTTTACACAATAAATGTTGTTCTACAGATAATATTGCCTCAACTCCAATGACCAAGATACAACTACATTTAATTTTAAAAAATTGTCACAGATTTATTTATTTATTGTCTGTCTGTCTGTCCGCCTGCCAAAAAAACTTTATTATTTTTTTCTTATTTGCTATTAATGTAAGAAAAACCAAATTATATAACAAAAAGTATTGCTCAGCAACATAAAAAACCCACTTCAAAGTCTAACTAAAAACCCATAACTGACCTCCAAGTAACTCCACTGGTCTATCCTCAGGTACTCTCCATTTGGCATTGCCTCCCTCATCTGTGGGAAAATTGCTGCCATCGGTGACCTGGAAATGGTGGCGCGACAGCTGGGCATGTACATGGTCACGGTCATGGTTGGACTCGTCATTCATGGCGGGCTCATCCTGCCACTGATATTCTTCGCCATGACTCGGAAAAACCCCTTCACGTTTTACTCTGGCATCTTCCAAGCTTGGATCACTGCTCTGGGAACAGCCAGCAGGTACAGCCAGCAGACTAATCACATCATGTGTTTATGGAAATATGCTGATAGATTGAAGAGTTCTGGCTGCACAGACTGAAGAGTTAAAGGTCACATTTGGTTAAAAAAAAAGTAGAGCAATACTGCAATCTGTCTCTGTTTTACATAAAGCACAGCCAAAACACATTCTTATGTTAAAATATATATATATGTATGTACATATATATTTTACTGGTATGTGATCTAAGTTTATTATAAACTCAAACATAACCCAAAAAAATCTTATAGATGACTTGATATATTTTCTGCATTGTCATAAATCACATTATCTAATCTGGCCAAAGTAAAACTAAATCACATTATCTAATCTGGCCAAAGTAAAACACACATTTTCTGAAGTTCTCCAGAATAGAGGTCTAGAATGATTTATCAGTCTAAATGGAAGGAAAGGGATATTATGAAAACATATTTTAGAGAGTCGTTTATAAATAAATCTTGGTTTGTGGGATTACATCTGTTAAGCCAAACCATTTACTGAATGTTAAACCAACTGTCAATTTGGCTCTGAATTCCCATATATATATATATATATATATATATATATATATATATATATATTGTGTTTTTGGACACAATGCTATTCAGGGGGAGTTTTTCAGAAAACAAATTAACATTTTTTAAACAATTATGATCAATATAACTTTCTCTTTCTCAGTGCTGGGACGTTGCCAGTGACATTTCGGTGTCTGGAGGAGAATTTAAAAATTGATAAGCGTGTGACTCGTTTTGTGCTGCCCATTGGAGCCACCATAAACATGGATGGCACTGCACTCTATGAGGCCGTGGCTGCCATTTTCATTGCCCAGATGAATGACATTGACTTAGATGGAGGACAGATTGTTACTGTCAGGTAAGGAAATATGGAACTGAAACCAGACAAACTGTGGCTGCAATAAAGAATAATAACCCTTTTATCAGCAAAATCCATTTCTCTTTGAACAGAAATACTTTTAGTTCTTTTAGCTCCGTGTTTGTAATTTCGGTCATTTTTACAAAGGTTAACAATTAGTGTTTAAGTTGCGTATTCTGCAAATTTGTAGTTATTTTTATTTTATTTCAATTATTACAATTATTTTATTTTGTTCAGGTAAGACTACTCCTTGTAATCCATATAGTGACTGCAAATGTGTAGTCATTTTAGTTAATTTCATTTGTTCAGATAAGAATTTATTTTTAAAATGCCATTTGTTCTCTTTGCACTGTTCTCACAAGCAGCCTGAATGCAGTCTTGATTTATGAGTCACGTGTTTGACTTTACTGTCCTTTGTATTGTTGTGCCATTACAGTCTGTTTTTTTTATTAAAGTTATTATAATTTATTTTTATTACAATGGCTCTATAATTATGATTCAGTTACAAAACTTTAACCTGCAGATACATCACGTGTTCTTCCAATCCATTTTCAGTTTACTTTTTTTGTTGTTATTTTCCTTCTTTGCTCCATTGAACTCATTTTTTTTCATCCTTTTCTCTCACTTATAATAGATTATATCCGTCAGTGCCGCCCCACAATTGCTCAGTCGTCATTGTAGTATCTCATGATCCCCTCTCTTTCTTGCTCTGCAGTATGACAGCGACTTTGGCCAGTGTGGGAGCAGCCAGTATTCCCAGTGCAGGTCTGGTCACCATGTTGCTAATTTTGACCGCCGTGGGCCTTCCAACTCAAGACATCAGCCTGCTCGTCGCTGTCGACTGGCTTCTGTGAGTTCAAACATCTCTGTTTGGGTTATGTACGGGGCCGTCTCTTACATCCCCCCTGACGATTTCGTGTGTGGAGTCCTGACTAATTATCAACTGTCTTCATGAACCTAAACAGCTGTCCTGAGCTGTTCTATATCAGCCTTTAGAGCTGTCTTTTGTGTGTCTTTAGTGACAGAATGCGCACCTCCATTAACGTGGTGGGCGACTCTTTCGGGGCAGGCATTGTGGACCACCTATCACGGGCAGAGCTCGCTTTGATCGACGGGGAAATCCCCCTACCAGATGAGGACTTCATCCCCCCTCCACCTCTCCTTACTGAAATAGACCCTATTGATCCTCTCAAACCACCTGAACTGCCCCCTCGATCCCCGCGCCCCCCTAAGCTCAATCATCACGCCCCGTCTCTGACCCCTTCACAGTCTCAATCGCAGTCCATCCCGCACTCGCCCCGTTCCGTCCGCTCTCCGTCACCTCACTCCATCCGTTCGCCCTCCCCTCGCTCTGTGTGCTCTCACTCCCCGCGGCCTTTCCGAACACATTCCCCTCGTCTTTTACGCGGGACGGAGCCTGGATACTGTGCCCTGCCCACTTACGACAACCAGGTGAGGCTTTAAGTCATTGTAGATTTGTTTTGTTTTTAAGCTATGATGTTCTCAAATAAATGTCCTCACACTTCTTTGAACACTTGGTCTTAAAGGTATCGAAATTTCTGTTATTATTTACTCACCTTCATGTTGTTTCAAACCTGCATGACTGACTTTCTTCTATGGAACAAAAAAATTGCTCCTTCTCTTTTCCATTTACCACAAAAGTGATCCAAACAACTTGCCTGCTTTATTGCCAAGTCTTCTGAACTAATATTTCAGAATTGTTTTGTGCAAGGAACAGAACGAGATCTAAGTCATTATTCACTGTCAAGCGCTCCAAGTGCTCATGAGAGAAGTTAGACCGTCCAATCTGTGAAGAAATCTTTCTTTTGAGTCAGATCTTGTCAATTATCGGTTTTCCCCAGTTCACAAAACCTCTGAATGATTTGTTCACAAATTGGACTGATCCCTGAAGTCTGTTTTTGCGTGCTTTTTGAACCTTTTGAATGTTTTGCTACGGGTTGGAGGGAATGGGAGCAATAAAAGTCGACACCATTATGACTAAAAGTTTGCTAACCAGCATTTTCTACTAAAGCAAGGCGGTATTTGACTCTGGTGAGCATATCCAGAGAAGACTGGTGTGTATTATGGGTGTTGAAGTCTATTTACTATTATATCTATTTACTTCCAATGCAGAAGTACCCCTTTAAAAGTACCCTTTTCCCTGTTTTTAAAGAAAAGGCTCTGTACTTTCTTTTGATATACTGCATGTTTAGATACAGTATGCATACAACTAAATATGAGCCATTCAAATTTTGTGAAAATGATCAAAAATCCTGCCGGTGGCTTGCACAAAATCAGCTTTTAACTAAAAATATACTAATAACCACTATAATGGTTATTGGTACATTTGGTGGTACAGGTGGTATAAAACAGGTGGTACAATAGAAGGCCTTATGATGAATCAGTGCTCAATGTAAGGTGCCTGTCCAAAAAAAAAAAAGTCAATACTTAATAAAAAAAAAATATATATATATATGAAGAGTTCAGATGCAAAAGCCTCTAAGTGCCATTTGAAATTTTCTTCTAGAATGATAATTTTTATCAAGCTTGTATATTTAATTTCAGTGATTTCACTTAAATGGCAATGATAATTACCTATTAATTGATATTTAAGTGCAATTACTGAACTTAAATATACAAGTTTGATAAAAATCATCATTAAAGAAGAAAATTTCAAATGGCATTTAGAGGCTTTTCTATCTGAACTCTTCATATATATATATATATATATATATATATATATATATATATATAATGGTACACACTATTCATTTTTCAATAATCTACAGTTGTTCCTGGCAAAAAACATACATTTGACAGTAATTTGACAGCAATGTTAAACTAATAACAGTTTTTCCACTGTATATTGTACAGTAAACCAATGAACAGGTTTTTACAAAAGTATTTTTGCAGTTTTTTTTCTGTAAAAAAAATGACAAACATTTTTTACAGTGTGGTTTGTAAAGACATGAATAAATATACGGTACCGCTTCCTATTACAGTACAGTACTTGCAGTGTACTTACCTAGAAAGTACTGGCTAATATATACTACTGTCATCATATAATGTAACATATAATACATCTCATCATCACTTTACATTCTGCAGATTACCACACTTCCCAGAGGTTTCCGAGAGAGAGGCAGAGACCGGGAAAGAGAAAGAGAAAGACAGAGACTGCGAGAACGGGAGCGGGATAAAGAGAGCGAGACTGAGGAGGATGAAGAGAAAGAACGAATGATGGACGTGGCGAGTGATGGAGAGGAAAGTGACGACACGGCGTACGACAGACGCCATGCCATCCCAGCTTGTGACCTGCCCTGAACAGGAACAGACAAAGCTGTACCACATTTTCACAATACTACTTCTGTATTTCAGCATCCACCTTGCTGGATGAAAGTTTGTGTATTGATGTTTGGCAAAGACTTTGAGTAGACCTACGTGTGTTGTGTGTTTGTTCTGCTTTGAGAAGCTTGACATAATTGAATAGAGGGTTCATTGGCAAGTATGTTTTTAGTGTCAGCTTTATAGTCTAGCAACACCAATTGTTTGTAACTTGCAGCTTATTTACTTTTATTGGTTATTTGCTTTTACAGGATTTCAATAATAAATACCGGACGAGTGTTTTGAGCGTTTATTGCACGTGCTGTGCCAGTCTTGATTTAATTTAGTCTTTGACTTCCCTGTCATAAAATGTGTCCAAGTTACTGGGATACTGGTTATTACACTGGGTGTCATCGCCCTGCACTGTAAAACCCAGACTTACTCAATGATGAGCCTTGACTCATTTGAGCTGCCTTAGTTTACTTGTGTAGCCTAGATGTCCTCTGTTCACTGCCAGTGCAACATAAACAAAGAAATCACAACAGGCATTTCAAATGAGTCGAGGTAGTTGGTTCCTATAAACAGTCCAAAGTTGTTCCAAAATTCCCATTTTATGATTTGTTTTTTTTTCTTTTGACGGTGACAAGGACGTCACAAGCAGCTGTGAGTAATGCAACATTTTTCCCCCATAACCATCATGTACTTTCCTGTTCCTCAAAAAAGTGAATCATATACTGAAAGGATCATTTGCATGCATAAATTTACTAAAACACTGTTTAGATTTGTGGGTGTGACGTCAGGCTTATACACTTCCAAGATGCTAGGCCAAGTGCAGTTACACAAACCTGACGTAGTACGTTATTGTCATCGTGCAAGTCATCCGCTCATTCAAGTTTGTTCTCACTCACATCCAGCCTGTACACACAAATAATTTTTATTATTATTTTTCGAATTCATTTTGTTTTATTGGCATGAGATACTTTAGTACAGATTTCCAAAACATTTCAAAGATTTTATTTTTAATTTAGAAAGAAATTTTAGAAAGAAATGAATACTTTTATTGAAAATCTATTTCAAATAATTTTTTTTCTTTTGATATTTGTTCTTTAAAAAATGCTGAAAAAATTATTAAATATTAAATTTGAAAAATATTAAATAATATTAAATATAAATATTAAGCAGCACAGCTGTTTTCAACATTGATAAATTATAAAAAAAATTAAATTGTGTATCAAATCATCATATTAGAATGATTTCTGAAAATCATATGACACTGAAGATGAGTAATTAAGCTGAAAATTCAGCTTTACTGTCACAGGAATAAATTTGAATTTTAAATATATTATAAAAAAATAGTTATTTTAATTTATAATAATATTTCACAATATTACTTTTTTATCCAATAAATGCAGCCTTGATGAGCATAAGATACTTATACAAAACATTACAATATATCGTTAACATTTTACTCAAGAGCCTTTACGTATAATGCATTATAAAGAATGTTTAATGCATTAATTATGCCTTGTAGTGCCATTTATAATGTATTGTATTGTCACATGAATAATTGTAACCACATTTATAATACATTATTATACACCTTTAGAAAGTGTAATGCAATAAAAAAGTGAAAACAACCAATTTCAGATTCAACAAAGAATCTGTGATTATTATAATGCATTTTAACTTTGGTTACAGTTATTTATGACAAGATATGATGCATTATAAAGTACATTATGAACACATTTATAATGCATAACACATAAAGGCATAATCAAAAAATCTTTCAGACGCCAAACTTTGGATGGTGGAGTAAATAAAATAAAATGGAAAATATTAATGTCGTAATTGTTTGTCCCATGAAATAAAATGGAGAGAAAGCAGAGGCTTTTGCTGAATAAGAGCCTAGTACAGATCTACATCTCAAATTATGCCCAGATTTGATAATAATACCACATTTCAATATGAACTCACAAATTTCTCATCAAATACTTCCCGAATCACAAGCAATGGACAATATAGTTCCGCCATCTTACTACGTCAGTAATTGTCTCGTTTGTCTGTATTTATTGTTCTGAAAGAGTTGATAACTAAGAAATCCATTGAGCCTCTTAATCTATGTAAGAATCTCGGAAAGAGCTTTATGTTTTTTCCTTTACAATTTAAGAATTACATTGTTAATATTGTTGTCATTTGCTATGATGGATTATCATTGTAAATTTTAGCTGTGGTTTATGATGTCTTTTGTCTGACTCATGTATTTATTATGATAGACTTTGCTTAATTTCCCCACTAATGTCCCTCTGAATTCATACTACCACATCGGCTGCTGTCTGTGGTGTGTGTAATAAAATCTTAACAATTTATTTTAAACTTATTCCAGTGGTTTGTGCTTTATTGCCTCTTGTGTAAGAGTCGATGTCATCGTGAAGCGCATTTAAATCCTGTCTCGCTCTCGCATTAAGATCGGTGGACGAACGAAATCCCTTCACGCACACAGAGTCAAAATTTTCTCGCACAATGATGAGACAGAGACCTTTAATCCGCTCAAAGAAGAGTGAAGGAGAGAGCAAAGGATGGGAGAGAGCAGCAGATGGCCAGAAAGACGTCAATCCTCCTCATTCTTCTTCCCAGGACAACAGTGAGGCAGGAGACAGATGATTACAAGGGACACTGACGTTATTGTGGGGCCCCTGGACGTCAAAGACACAAAATGGGAAAGCTTAAGGGATGAAAGGCCAAAATGGCAATTGGGGGAAAGGATGCGAGCCTTTAAGGACATCGGTCATCACTTGCTGGAGCCAAGCTGTCCAATTGCACCTCAGTATTTACAGTCTTTAATCATTTACAGGGATCTAACAATTATTGACAGGCCGGTCTGGCACGTTTGTTTTATCTTTTCTTAAGATAAGACCTGCACACTTGAACTTTTTCATTAAAAAGATTAACAGATCATAAACTGATGCCACACTGCCCTCTCTAGCTGACGGGACGGTAGTGTAGTGTCCTCGCGTCCTGTCATCTCCTAGGTGAGAATGTACAGGAGCTTTTTATGGCCTCTTATCTGTTCTGTTTAAACTGCCCCCACCACCTCCACTCCCATTTCCTCTCAATACTGGGGAAACATTTTACGTATTGAATAAACATTGATTCATCTCTTATATGCAAACTTATATAGGCCTATGTTCTCCTCTTCCTGAATGTAATTCTGAAGTCGGGGGTCCCCTGTTCGCTGAGATCAATGACATGACTGGCATAGCCTTGAGAGATTTACCATCATCCTCGTTCATTTCCTGAAAACAAGTTTGTTATCATTTTTCCTTTTCGTACTTGAGTGACTCATGGATTCTCTGTCGGTCTCTCATAAATACCATATAAATACAAGTTTATAGGGACATGTCTTCTGTGGAGACCATCATATCTGGAGGTCTTGAAGATATCGCTGCTCGTACTTAAGAACTTAGCTTAAGATTTAGAATTTCATTTTTTTTTTATAAATTTGTAAACTTTCATTTTTTGAGGGATATTTCTATTTCTAAGTCAGCAATTTTCTATTGATGCCCACCTGGTCGGCTTGGTCAATCATGCTTTTTGCCTGTTTTCTCGCCTTTTTTACTCTTCTTCCAACGCTTCATTGGTGTATATATATTCCTGAGCAGAATGTGCTTTTTGCATTCAGCACACAAGTCAGGGAACGCCTGCTCTACACAGGTAATCCTAACCTTTAACCTACTTACTTACTACTACTTACTTTTTTAGCTGCAATGTTTAGATGTTATTATCTGCTTAATGTGGGTGACGTGCTGCTTTCTTCCCTCTTCCGTTATTTACTGGTGTGTGGTGACGTTACTATAAAACTTAATGAGTTTAATTTCAGGGCAATCCTTTGCACTGCAAGTGCACTGGTTTGTTCCTAAAGTGTCAATAGGCTTGAGGTAATGGCATTAAGTGTGTTCATATGTCTCTGTGTGTTTTTGTTCATTTTAGAGAACAGATTACAAGGGCTGTTCCTTGAAATGAATCCCGATGGCTCCGTCAGAGGTTCTCCGGAGCAGAGACAAAACTGTAAGCAACTTCTGCAAACATTAAAGTTAAAGAGCAAGAGTATATTCATTAAGTAACAGTCAAGATACTTCTCCGAAAGTCTTTCAAGGAAAAAAAGCCTTATCAGAAGACATAATGAGTTTATAATAGCTATGATAGCCGTGATTGTGCAAATAATGACACGTTTGTTGTCATTTTGGTGTTATTGTTATGAAAATATTTCAAGGTGGCAGTGGATATGAATATTTGAGGTCCAAAGGTGATGCGTGTAAATTATGGTAGTGACAGAGGTGTGGTGTGTGTTTGCTGCGCTCCAGGTGTGCTGAAACTGCGTTCAGTGAAAGCGGGCAAGACGGTCATCCAGAGTGCGGCTACATCTCTCTTCCTTTGTGTGGATGATGAAGACAACTTGAAAGGACAGGTCTGAAAATGGCAATCTGTTTTAAAAGACACCATTCTTGTTTAGCTTTCAAGAAAGCAGTGGAAAAAAATGTAAAAGACCTTTATTACACTCTAAACAATGCTGGATTGTTTTAAACCAATTTTGGGTAGCATATGGACAAACCCAAATGTTGGGTTAAAAATGTAATGAACCCGACTTCAACTTTCACCTGCACATTTTTTAATTGCATTTTTAACCCTATTGATATTTTTCCATATTTGACCCAAATGTTTAGCATTTTTAGAGTGTATATGCATTATTATTTACACACAGTGAATCTTATGAGTTTTGATCACTGCTGTTGAATGCATTAAAATTGATCAGTAAATACATTTATAATCACAAAAGATTTTTATTTCAGACAAATGCTGTTCTTTGACCATTTTTAATTACTCAAATAAGCCTAATTGTTTTAATGGTTTCCACAAAATATATTAAAGTGTTTTTCTTGAGCATTAATTTCAGCATATTAGATTGATGGATTGATAAATGCAATTGATATAACATGTATTTATAAATTACGATTTTATAGTGAATAATTACTATTTACCACTACTCCAATTGTTTCAATCATAATGCAGATTTTACAGTATTATATAATAACATTATTATATATGTTTTACTGTATTTTAAAACATGTTGAATGGCTTTTCAACTTATTCATTATTTTCTTTAATCATTTTCACTGGAGACTTGAATACATTTGGTACTGAGTTTTGTTTTCTCTTTCAGCTGCAGTACTCTGAAGGAGACTGCATCTTTCAGGAATTACTGGAAGATGGATATTCTTCTTTCCTTTCTCCACACACTCAGCTTCCTGTGTCGCTCCGCTCAAAGCAGTCTGGACAGAAACATGGGGCTCCACTTTCTCGGTTCCTCCCCATTATGAATACGGTGGCAGCGGACAGCCAGATACAGGAGGTGAAACAGTATATTCAGGATTTAAACCTCAACTCTGATGACCCACTTGGAATGGGACATCGGTCACACATACAGACTATCTTCAGTCCCAGTCTGTATGCTAAGAAATGAGGACGGGTGAACGTCAGTTATGGAGGCACTCTTTACATTATCACTGGACTGCAAGGTTAAAAATGTTTTGTTTCTGTATTTTGTTGCCTGAAGCTGTATTTATTTGAATTTATTTATTTATTTACTATGGTCTAAAATTATTTAAATGAATTAATTATTTAAAGTATCATTGTTAACTTAAACATTGTTATTACTGTAAATTAAACATTACATTTTCAATAATGTGAGAGATATCTGCTGGAGCAGTTTGTTTGTTCTTTTTGTAGTTCACTTGTAGAGTCACTTCAGTATGATTCTTGTGTGATTAAAAATTTTAATAAATAGTACACCAACATGGCTCAGAGTTCCATAATTCATAGAGCACACATTAAATATTACATGTTTTCCTAAAAAGCTTATACATACACACACAAGCACAGACACACACACACACACACACATCTCTCATCCAAATCATGTCAACAGTGTCGTTCAGAACAGCAGTAACATTAAACTGTTCCAGATGAATGATGCTTAAGACTTTATCCATCCGTCGGGCACACAAATCCCTGGCACATTCATGGCTGCAACCCGGGTGACAAAATACATGACATTTAAATGACACCGCTTGGCGCTTCTTCCTATGAATATGTCCAATATATATATATATGTTGAGAATTCCAGTAAAGCAAAAGTGCGAACGCTTGTATTGCACAACATAGCTCAGTGACTTTTCCAAATGCATCCAAGCATTAAGGCGCAACTCTCTGAATAGATAAAAATAGTTTCACAAATGAATACGCTCAGTGTAGGGTTGTGATGTCAAAATAAAAGTTTTGTAACGTTAGGAAAAAAAAAAACATTTTATGAAAGTTAAAATAATTTTTTGTGACTTCTTCATACTTTTCCTTCTCAGCCTCTGTGTCGATCATTTTCTGTTTCCTGCATTCCTCCTTCCCACTTTTAGACAGAGTCACAGCTATGTAGTGTCCTTCAAACATGGCACAGGACCAACTCCATCTCTCATTCCCCCTTTTTGATCTCCAGTCTCTCAGACTTGGGTGACCAGCGGGTAAACGCTCCCTATGCTTTGCTCTCCGGCCTGTCCCGCACACAGCCCAGCCAGGAGAGTCCCATTGAGAGGGGCACAGATCCCCCTGTAGGTCGTGCTTCCTTCGAGAGGAACGCAGTCTCCCTGTTCCCCGGGCTCTTCCTCTCCGTCTTCTCCTTCTTCACCACCCTCTTCCTCCTCCCAAAGGGAGGTGTTGACGTGCGTGTACTCCTGGTTGTCCACACACTCCGTCTCGCGGTGGTAGAAGTAGCTGAAGTTGGAAACGATGACAGGAACAGGAAGCGAGATGGTGAGCACGCCCGCGATAGCGCACATGGAGCCCACCAGCTTTCCGCCCACCGTCACCGGGTACATATCACCATACCCCACTGTCGTCATGGAGACCACAGCCCACCAGAAGGCTTCTGGGATGCTGGTGAAGGCCGTGCCCGGGTTTTCCGCCTCAGCAAAGAACACGGCTGAGGAGAACAGGATGACTCCGATGAAGAGGAAGAAGATGAGCAGCGCCAGCTCTCTCAAGCTGGCCTTCAGCGTCTGGCCCAGGATCTGAAGGCCTTTGGAGTGGCGAGACAACTTGAAGATTCGGAAAACTCGAACCAGACGGATGACCCTTATGATTGCCAGGGACATGGACGGCGCCGTATCTTTAGACTTGGCCAGCTCGGTGCCGAGCGTGACGAAGTAGGGAATGATGGCAAAGAAGTCTATGACGTTCATCACATCCTTGAAGAAGACCGTTTTACTGGGAGAGCAAGCGAAACGCATCAATAGCTCAAACGAGAACCAGCAGATGCACATGGTCTCCACCAGGAAGAATGGATCGTTGAAGATGGAAGGCATCATGATGTTCGTGGTACTGTTTCCAGCGAGGTGAAACTGGTGTGGAAAGAGACAGGAAAGAAACAAAAAAAAGAGAAATTACATGCAGAAAATGGAAACTGATGGCTATAGAGTATAAAATACATGTTGCATATCCAAAGTTTGTATTGTTATATTTTCCATTGTAGCTGGTTGGTTTATTTCATGGTTTATAACTTTTTAACAAATTTTTTGTTTTTAAATTCCTATGGGGAAAAAAATGAATGGCAACAATAGGGGATTATCATGCTTCCGGGTTTCATGGGCGGGATTTGTCGACTTTGTGCATGTCCACTTCCGACGCAGTTCAACAATGGCCGAAACGAAGGCTAGATGTCACTGCTCTGTTCCACTTTGTAAATCTAACCAACAATGCCAACCCTACTTAAGTTTTCATGGATTCCCGACTGAATTGAGTTTAAGGAAGAAGTGGATTAAAGAGGTTTGCCGGGATGAAGGTCCAAACTTTAAAATAAAACAAGGTAGCGCGTTTGTTTGTTCGGGTGAAATACTACATTATAATGGTTGTATTGGCCCTTTACAGGTATTTGGTTACACTTTATTTCGATGTTCTACTAATTATAAGTAACTTTTCAACTACATGTCAACTAACATTAGAGTATAAGTATATTATCGTAGACTGTCAGTAGACTGTTAGGTTAGGGTTAGGTGTTAGGGTTCGGGTTAGGAGAATAAGTTTACTTGTAGTCGCCAAGTTACTTATAGTCAGTTGAATGTCTGTTGGGGGACCAACAAAATAAAGTGTTAGCAGATATTAAGCTGACAGTCTACTAATACTCTAATGACAGTTAGTTGACAAGTAGTTGAAAAGTTACTTATAGTTAGTAGAATGTCTAAAGTGGACTATCGAAATAAAGTGTTACCGGTATCTTAATAGGTAGAAAAGTAGTGAGTTATAATCAGTCAGATTTAATCCTCATGAATATAATCGACTAATTTCAGGGCAGAAATAACCTTTTAATTAATAAGTAGAGGCTTTAATCACTTTTTAGCAGGTGCAATACATGCATCGTAATGGTTGTATTGGCCCTTTACATGTATTTTAATACGTAAAATGTAGTAGGTGAGTTATAATCAGTCAGATTTAACCCTCATGAATATTATCGACTAATTTCAGGGCATAAATAACCTTTTAATTAATAAGTAGAGGCTTTAATCACTTTTTGGCATGTGCACTACATGCATTATAATGGTTGTATTGGCCCTTTACAGGTATTTTAATAAGTAAAAAGTACTGGGTGAGTGATGTTTATTTGCACATTATGTCAGTTTGATCCACATAAAAGGAACTACATTCGTAAAGAGAATGGATGATACATATTTTACACGCTGCACGTGCTCCCCATGCCGAAAAGTGGACCATCACTTTTCGGCACGACACCGGCACTTTAGTGAATCAGACTAATTTACCAGGGAAGCCGTATAAATAAACCTAGTGTAGTCCGTCATCAGTTCGCCAGTGTGATCGGTGATTCAACGGAAGTGGCAATGCGCAAAGATCACTGAATGCGGAAGTACTATGTGTCAGGATGATAATCCCCTATATTACGTAACTAAGACTGGTAAAAAAAAAAAAAAAGTTAGAATTTGACCATTGAACTCTATATTCCCTCTGCAGCAAGAAACGTTACTACTGTGCGCCAGTCAGTTCAGGTATTTCTGTTTAATGGAAATGTACCCTAATAATAATATTTCTAACAGACATGCTTTGACTTAACAAGTGCCAGACAGAAACAATTTGGTTACTCATTTAACAACCACTTGAGTGAAGCTGAAGGTCCCATTCTGCTTGTAAGGTCACAGTATATGACCTTTCACTCAAAGGTCTGTCATTTTCGCTCTTTATCACCATGACTCTATAAAGAAATGACTTAGTCTAACATGTAGACAAGGGCAATCCACATGATTATGTGAATGTTTCCATAAAGATGTATAACCCTAATGACCAGTGGTGGTGTGTTTGCTAGAAAAACAGTTTTTAAAAGAGTAAGACATGATTAGATGACCATGACATGTGAGATGCACGTGTGGTTGTGTGTGAAATTGTGTCTGGCTAGCTGGATCTTAAGTGTTCCCTATCGTAGTGCTTATTTAGATTTTGCTAAAGTCATCATAAGATGTTGTGGAAGTGTGTGTTTCCATTCCTATTTCAGCATTCGAGAGTGTCTGTTTATTAATACAAGCTCCTGTATCTGTGTTAATGTGCACTGAAGGGTTGTCCTTACTCTAAAAATAACACCTTAGATCTTTAAGGTGAAACTTGAGAATGTAACTCCACAATCTCTCCCTCACCCGCTTTAGTTTGCTTGTCGTTAACTGTCTGATCCATGTAAAATTACTGAGCTGCTTTGGCAGCATGTTGAGGTTGCTGGGTTGTGGGTCGCTGCTGGGAAACTAATTTGATACTCTTTACTAACTTTCCCTCCTCGCACCCTACCCCACCCTGCACTGCTCACTATTTTCCCCTCACAGACGCTCTTTCATACTGTCACCTGTCATCTTGTCATTTCTCATCTCTTTCCCTTTTTTCTATCTGTGTATGCTGGTGGAATCTCTCCATGGAAGCGTCACTTGACTGTTTTCCAACTCCCCCAGAGTCTCTGCTCCCAATCTGTGTATCAGATTTAACGACACTTCTAAAATAATCTCAGCAATAACCCTACACTCTCTCCTGCTCCTGAACTCTTCATCTGTTCTTTTTTTTATGTGACTTTTCACACTCTAAACTAACCTTTTTTTGTGATTTTAAATGTGGTTTTGGAAATGAATGTGCATACAGTGAAAATGCCACAAAAAAGTTCAGCATTCAGTGTAACATTGTCTTTACAATTGATAGAAATTCATTATTCAATGTGCATAAACATATTATACATTGGACAATTTTGTGAAATGCTCTAAAACAGATAATACAAACAGCACTAGCCTAAGTGTTATTTCCCATAATTCAAAGTGGCAACAAACCAACATGTCAACATTTAAAAATGTAAACAACTGGGGTTTGCTCACTGGAACTGTTTGTTTTGTTCTTAGTCTAACTTGAGTCTGTGCAGAAGCGATTTCGGGACCTGACATGTGCAGTAGTGAACAAGATGCAAAGTCGCAAAATCATGGCCCGCCCTCAATCAATCGCAAGCACATGCCCCTGCATTTAAAAAAAAATGATAGAAATGTATTAAATTTAAAGCTCCAATCTCCTCAGTCCTCCGATGATCCCGAAAAAAGTCTGTTAGTGCTTCAGTGACTACTTCGCTCAGAGAACCTGTCAATCACAGCTGTCAATCATGACGTCACACCACCACCACCGGATCAAATAATTAACTAAAAACAAACTTATTTTAAAAACAAACACTTGAAATTAAATCAGCGTAATAAAAACTACCATTAATGACAGAAATCATCTTTGGAAAAACAATATTTGAAGTGTAATTTAATTGTTTATTTGGCCTTGCGTGCCATTGAATAACATAGGGAGGCGGGGTTTATGACCTAAACTAGGACCGGCCACCGGGGGCCGATTTGGCTTCACTTTTCAGGGCTTGTGTGGCACGCTTGCTTTTTCCCTGTCTTAAATCGACGCCCTCCCCACCATTGTTGATTGACAGCAGTGTTTCAACACATTGCCCTGAGCGAGCTGTCATCATAGTCCGTCATTGTTGATAACTGGAGCAGAATGGCGTCTAAGCGATTGTGGTGTTCTGTTCTTGGGTGTACTAATGAACTCAGCAGTCATTTTGATGTTCTTATATCCGAACTGCTGAAGACACAGTAGCTGAGTTTTGTTTTTCGAAGGAAATATTCCCCAGGATCAACGTCAATGCGTCAATGTTTGCGCGTTTCGCAAATCTTTTCTCACCTCTGAACTGCTTTATGAACGATGATTAGTATAAAACTGGTTTTGCTAAGAAGCTGCTCCTGAAAAAAGAATCGGTACCAATTATTCATGTTCCTGCTGCACCTCCAGAAGAAGTGTGTAAAATTTTATTAACCTTTATATTAATCTTTGCTAATCGCTTGCACGCTTCATGATGAATGCGGCTAAGGTTTACACTCTGGGTACATTACGGCATGTTTTCTATGTACGATGTTCTCAATATAATAAATAATCCCGCGTTTATAATGAACAACGCGTTATGGTTATTGTGTTTTTACAAACTGAATACGTATACATCAGTAAACACACAGCATTCGTACATATCACTAACTTAAGTTACTCTAACATTACCCTGCCAGTAAATACAAAGATAGATCAAAGTGACATACGTTAACCAACCATTCAGAAACGTCCTGTTCAAGCCTTAATTGTCGAACTTACTCCGGTTCAAACTGATATGGTCGCACAGATGTGTCCTCTGCTGATGCTGCCATTCTTTCTCCAAAATATACCCTCAACTGTTGTCAAGGCAAGACTCCAGGTGTGTTGTATCAAAAGCCCCACAGAACAGAGGGGCGGAGTGAGTAAAGCTCATTAACATTTGCTGAAAACAGCTGTTTTTGACTTGGTAAAATGAGTGTTTTCTTAGAATACTAATGAGAATTAGTAATTAAAGTATATTACAAACTTTTCATTTAGACCCAAAAGAATCAAATTAACTTGTATGAAAATGGCATTATATGACCCCTTTAATAGCTATTAAAATATTTTTTATAAAAAGAAAGGCAGCAGTTATTCGCACAAAGTGTAATTTGTTCAATTCATGTTGACTTTACACAATATATTAATATAATAATAAATTAAGTTTCATTTAATGCATGCTCATTCATCTTCAAATGCTCAGGAACCCACCTGCTTCATGCTAACTGCCACACTAACATTCTTTCTCATTACTATGACCATTACAATTAACGGAAAACAATTTGTAAATCCTGTTAGCTACATTCTGGTCAAAACTTTTAACACCTCTCACCTCCGTATCCTTTTTGAATATAGGCAGCGTTTCCAAACAGAAGATCAGAATGGAGAGCACAATCACCATCACACTGATGATGGCGATGATGCGGGCGCCCCCAGAGGATTCTGGGTGTTCAAAGAGTATCCACAGCTTGCGCTGGATCTCATTGTCTGGCAGGGGCCGAGGTTCCTCCTTAGGGAAGCCCTCATCCTCCTTGAAGCGAGCCATGATATCCTGTCCCAGCTCATAAAACCGCAGTTCATCCATGAAGATGTCCAGAGGCACATTGGCCGGCCGCCGTAACCGACCTCCAGACTGATAGAAGTAGAGGATGGCATCAAAGCAGAATCGATTGCGGTCCAGGAAGATCTCATTGCGGAGCGGGTCAAAGTAGCGCAGGCGACGCTGAGGGTCTCCAAGCAGAGAGTCAGGGAACTGGGCCAGGGTTCGAATCTGTGTCTCGTAGCGCATGCCCGACACATTGATGGCCAGTCGTTCAGACAGCGCCCAACCTCCTCTCACCATTGAACCAGATCTTCGATTTTCTCTCTTCTTCTCACCCTTCTCTTTGTCACCCTTTTCTGCCTTGTTTCGCTGATCCTTGAGTTTCTTGTCACTCTCATTGACCTCTTCCTCTACTTGTTTTTTGCCCTCGATTCCACTATCAGATCCTCCTCCTCCGTCTCCTCCTCCTTTGTCCATCTTTTCTTCTTTTTCTCACCCAGTCTGTTATATGGGGTAGAAACAGAATAATTTCAGCTCAACATGAACCCAGCAGTCAAAGAATTGTAGAAATGTAAAACTGGTGTTAGACCAATGTATCAGCTATAGGCTGACTAACAGAAGTGGTCATTCCAATATCACCTGAGAGCCTTGTCGTAAAGAGATCTCATTATCTGTTCAAATATAACAGATATTTTTAAAGAATTTTAATTAAATGTTGCATTTAGAAATACATTTTAAAATGTAAACATTTTTTGCACTTTTTTCATCACTTAGTAATTCATGCTAAGTTTTAAGTAAAGATTTAACTTCACATTTCAAGTTGACTAAACTTAACAATTTAAGACAGCATGAACACTTTGTAAAGTTGAAACTATTTTTTACAGTGTTTCTCGCTATCATTACAATTTTAACTATATTATATTTAATAAATTAAAATCATATTAAATATTTTAATGATAGCAAACTTGATGCACATCTGGAATGGTCTGGTATATGTAATGTAATTTTAAAAATATGTAATACTTTTAAAATTTAATTTAAATGTTATTTTAATCATAATAGTTTTTTCAAAATTAATTACATTTATTACTGTGTGTGTATATATAGCAAAAAGGCAAAAAGGTTTACACAATAATTATGGAATATAGCAATGCTAAATGTATGTGTAATATATTTACACTTCCAGGTATGTAACTAAAGATGATATCTTTACTTAAATTATTCTCCCATGAAATCATATACAAATATTTAACGCACTCCATCCTAAGCCTGTGTTGACTCCACTACCACTTTGACCCACACCTCAAGAATAACACTACGGTAAGTTAACAGTCGGTTTATATGAAGACACCAAAACCACCAGGGAACAAGTATGGAAACAAGTTAAATCCCCTGAAAGAAAATATCTCCCGTTATTCAGAAATTTGGTATAATAAATACAGAGGTTTGGTTTGTTTCTCTGAAAAGGGTTTAAGAAGACACTCTGTCTTTCCACTTACCCTTTGTCACTGGTGACCGTAGATCCAGAACAGTTACCTCACACTATCCGTGTTTCTTCTCAACCTGCACCACACCATGAGCTCTGTATCAGGCGGTTTACCCTATGAGTCCAACAGGAGTTGTTTTCTCCTGTACCCCAAACCATAAACCCTGTCCTTCCCTTCGTCAGTGCAGTAAAGGATAGCTACTTAAACCAGTTTGTAGGTCACTGTCTTCACTCCCTTTCACGCTCACTGCAGCTCTGGGGAATGCTGTCATGCTGAAATTCAATCCAGAGCCCCTCGTCCCCTCATCAGCTCACTGTCCCAAACATCTTCACACCAGCTTAAAATGCCTCTCACTCATTTTCTCTCTTTTATATTTTTTGTTTACAATTCAAAGCAATATGTTTATTTATCCCATGCACCCCAACAGGAAACAATATAAATAAATATTCAGAATATAAAACAATTCTGAACATAACCATCCATAATAACTACTCAGATAAATAATCTGAACATAATAATTATTCAGAATTGTTCAGGACATGAATTAAATTTCTTTCTAAATTTCTAAAGTTCTTGGAAAGTTTTATCATAAATATTTCACCATTTTTTCAATGTTTTTAAAGTAACTTTAATTCTTGTGTAGTTCATTAAAATAGGGCAGCATGCAAATACTCACATTAGGCTTTCGCTTCGGAGCCAAGTTGACCAGGTTTTCACTCTGCTCTTCAATCATCGCTCGAGAGAGTACCATAACAAGATACTGTTCCTGTGTTGGTGTGAGAGCGCGTTCCAGCAGAGGTCGCTGTTGCTGAGAGTGCAGTCTGGTGCAGCCACCGTTCCCCTGGGCGCTTCAACATCTAAAGAGCAGTTTCCCTAATAAAGAGATTCCCTGCACGGGTTTGACGTTACGTCTTTTTAAAGATGTCATTTCACCAATGTGTTTCTGGCTGCGGCCGTTTCCTGGTCCAGTCCGAAACCCACAATCTCTGTCTCACGTGTCTTGGTCGTAAGCAGGCTAAGGTGATGTTCGTTATCGAGTCGTGCACCCACTGCGGGAAGATGACCATCGCGATTTTGAGATCAAGACTAAGATACTTGGAAACAGGTGGAGTCCCTTGTGCAATACCCTGATCTGGCTTTGATGCGCATAGGGCCACTTCGGTTACTACACAAGGTGATCTGAGGATTACAGAGGACGTTCGCTGGTTGAGTCCCCACAGCCCCCCACTCCTCTCATCCATCGCAGGCTGTAGAGCTTCCAGCTGGGGTTGCTGGGCCTTCTCATGGAGGTCCCAGTATCTCATTTGGGGCTCCCACGGATGACCGGATGTCGATTGCTGTATCTGAGGGCTGAATATAGTCCTCTTGAGATGAAGGCTCGGCTGCGTTGCCCCGTTCAGGAAGAGTAGCGTTCTTCGAGTCCGACCCGGAGCTGACTACCATGCTTTCCTGGGCCGTCGCGAGCATTGGGCTTGAGTGAAACCGTGTCCCGAAAGATCGTAGCTTTTTCAGGGCGGGGGATGCTGAACAGCAGCGTTCTGCTCCAGTGCCTTTCTTCTCTGAAGTGCACGAGTAGGTTACGAAGTAGTGTAAGGACCCTTTTCTCCCAGAAGCCGCTCCACTGCCTCCTCCGCATCAAGTGGTGTGTGGAGATCCCTCAGGTGGAGGCTACAGTTGCGGTTCAGCTATGCCCGCAAAATGCAGCCATCTGGCAGGGTCGTTCACGTATACCTTCCAAGGTTTGTACATTTTCGGCTGCACTTGCGGCCAAGGCTTACAGCGCTGCTGGACAGGCTGCCTCTGCCCTGCGCCATGGCCCTCCTGCAAGTTTACCAGGCTAAGGCACTAAAAGAGCTACACAAGGTTCTGACCCGGAGTTGATGCAGGAGCTGTGTACAGCGACGTAGCTCACCCTACGGGATACGAAAGTCAGTGAGCGTTTCCTTGGACCTGGTCGACAATGTTCACTTTCTCAACTCTCATCTTGGAGGCCGGCCTCTTTGGTGATGCTGTTGAGAATTTCGCACGGAGCCTCTCTGGCAGACAGAGCTGCGGACTGGGTGACACCTAACACATTCAAAAGATTTTACAATCTCAGATTGGAGTCGGGATCTACTATAGAGATCTTCCATATGTAGCACTGCCTGTCGGTCTGGCCAAATGCGTAACTCCACGTTACCTTCCTACAAGCAGGATGTGGTCTCCGTAGCATTCCTTTCCAGTTGGATTTGGCACTCTTCCTAATGTTATCCAATAGTTTCACTGTTCAGGGTGAATGTAACATCAGTGATTGACATTCTCAGCACACAGCCCTGTCCTACTCCCATCCATAAACAGGTGTGGGGTGACCAGCTGGCTTACTCAGGGTGCAGTTATGGCACCTTTCATAGGGATCCCGATTCAACAGTCACTGACGTCTAGGTTTCTAATGAAACCCCCATTCCCTGAAGGAGGGAACAGAGACATTAACGCCTGGTTCTCTCTCAATCTTCCCTGTCGTTGCTCCTCCTTTATGCTTCCGCTCCTCCGTGAGAGATGCGGGACCGCGGTGCGTCTCACAGGTGTAATTCATTATCACTCACGCCACCAGCCTAGCTCCGTTCTCTCGCGTTCTCCAGGCCATAATATTTCCGAACACTGCAATAATTAGTCAAAACAGCTTTATTTCAAAAACAGTTTGTTTGACATGGACATTGTTTAACAAATTAAAGAGGCACGGTGTAGATACATCACAGGCTTGGAAGACGTGTACTAAATGGTTTATCCATTTTGCAACACAAACTGGAGGTAAGCAATAGTAATGTGTAGCTAGTTTGATAGCTACAGAAATTAAGATCTCCCTCTTTTCTTTTTCTTGCTGCAGATGAAATGATTAAACTTCTGTTTTTCCGCAGTGACGGAAAAAGCACTGAGTTTAGGACAATCGGTAGATCTGCTTCAACTGTGCGATATAGTCACGACTCACAAGGAGCAAAATCTCTGACATGCCAGCTATCCGACTATCCGATTGCCTCACGGAAGAGGTTACCATTAATCGCCTCTCATTTCCCCCGTACACTGCATGAACACAGCACGACAAACGACGCATGACAAAGCTGAAAATCGCCCCGACCCAAAAAAGAGTCGCACAAGTCAGAATTCATCTCAAAGTCAGATGAAAATTTTGTTGTTGCCGAGCAGTGGGTTGGGTGGCTCGCCAATGTATTAGATTTCTCCAGTACATAAACAAAAGTAAGCTTGACCAGTTCTTGTGGGGAGAAGAATTTATTGAAGGTTAAGGCATTTGAGTAACTTACACACTTAAGTTATGTGTGAGGGGAAAACGGGGGAAGTAGAAAACTTCGGTTTTTGTTTCCATCTTTCTCCATGTTGAACTGTTTTATGTGCTTACTGTATCCACATATGATTGTATTATTATGAAAACACGTTCATGAACAATATAAGTTATTACTTTGTAGGATCCCGTTTGAGCCCTAGAGCAGACCCGAGATCTCTCCATTTGTTGAAAGCCTTCCCAATTTTGACGACTGTGACTCCAATTTGGCCCTTTTGGTGGCACTAGACAAAAGTTTTCTTTTCTTTGTCTTACGTGGAGTTTGCGTTGGGGTTTGGAATGAACAAGCCAGTCTCTTTGAATCCATCTTCTACTTTTATCGCTTGAGTTGTCTTTGCTGATGCGGAGAATGGCGGTGAATACACAAACCTGTCAGACATAGCCAGGTGAGCGTGAACGCGCATGATGTCACACTCAGTCTCAAATTCCATCCCGAATCCCTCTTATTTATTTTACTGTACAAGATTATAGAGGCAATCGCAGTGATCAGAAAATGGCTCATTTGGCCCATCAGGCCATTGTTTAAGCATGTATGGGTTAGAAAAATGTGTATTTTAACATGTTGCACAATGCACCTTTAAGATGCTTTTGTTTAATTCCTAATAAAATAAATAAGTGACCCTCCTTTCAATTAAATGTTCTCATGGCAGAGCTTACAGGCATCCTAGAGTGAAGTGCTAAGTGATATAGCACTGGGTTTCTGCCTAGATATATGTAATAACATTTTGCAAAATACCTCAAAAAGGTTAATTTGCTCATATTGACCTTTGCACATTGCTTTTGTTTGCGAGTCGAGTTTCCTTTGCAAAACAGATCGAGTTTGTTTGCAAAATGCTGGATTTGTTTGTTTAATTATGGCACAAAATTAAGTCCATAATATCAGGTAGCCTATAGGATATTTCAGACGATTCAGCCAGACTTGGTAAACTGGTTCATTCAGTTCGCTAAAAGCGATTCGAAACAAAGAAGAATCCAGGAAGCGAACTCTACCGCAAGCACGCTCACGTGATATCCATCGGGTGCTACTTCTTCTATCATATGATTTCAGTAAATTACTAACCGAGCTGTCAACTGTAAACGAAACTGTTAGTCGTGTGCAGACACTTGTCATTTTTTTTATTTCCTGAATTCCTGCATTAGTAGGCTTCGCATAAGTGGACGCATAGCGTACGGTAGTGACATGGCTTGTGCTCAGCGGTATGTCAACAAAGTTGTCATCGTGACTGGGGGCACTAGAGGCATTGGAAGGGGCATCGTTAAAGTGTTTGGTAAGGATTTATAGAATATATCTTTCATTAATACATCGAAAGTAAAGGAAGAGTAAATAAGAATATTGTCATGTTTGCTTTGCAGTTCAAAATGGGTCCAAAGTTGTGTTCTGCGCTCAAGAGAGTATGTGATAGATTTATATATAGGCTTCTTTTGAAGATAGGTTGATTACAGCAATCAATCCGATAACGTTTCCTTCTTTTTCCTACTATCAGCTGAGTTGCAAGCTGGCCAGTCTCTTGAGTCTGTCCTGAATAAGGAAGGGCCGGGATCATGCTTATTTGTGTCATGTGACGTGACAAAAGAGGATGACATCAAGGTGTGCACAGGCGTTCATTGCATTAATGTTACTCGCCTCAGTCTCTGTCCTACCCCTTTATCTTCTTTCTCTCAAACTTTACTTTACTTTAATGAATGAATAAAGACTTTATTCATCCATTAAAGCTGTAGCAGTTTAAAGTTTTATGGTTTAGTGTTCAGTTTTGTTTCCCATTTTTGAAAGATGTTTCCATTTAAAACTTGAGATTAATTTTGTAATATATAATGTATAAAGGCGTTATAGTCTATATATAACTATACGTGTGTGTGTGTGTATATATATATATATATATATAATTAAATAATTCTGATTATGTATGATTTTTCATTTTATAATAGCTTATATAAGAACTAATAATTAGAACTATAATTATTTATAAGAACTAAAAATTATATTCTAAATGTATTGTTTCTTTTTTTCCACATCTTACCTTGAAGCTATTAATAAGTGAGACGATTGAGAGATTTGGACAAATCGACTGTTTGGTGAACAATGCTGGGTGGCGTAAGTCAAAGGGTCTTTTTTTGTACTTAAAGTTTAAACTTTATTTGTTGTACACTATTGATTATTTTAAACAAGGACTTTTATATTTATTTAGAAAGTAATAATAATTTCAAAATAATGATTAAAAATAAATAGTCTAATAATACTGATTTGATTTGAATGATTCATCATTCAGACCCCCCTCACAAGCCCACAGATGAAACCACTGCAGACGAGTTTAGAGACCTGCTTAATTTGAACCTCATCAGCTACTTCCTTACTTCCAAGGTACAATGTCAAGTAACATAACACTCTGGTCTCCTTACTTGTGCAGTATGACTGATATTTTTTTTTTTTTATCTTTTAACTATAACCTCTTGGCAGTATGCACTGCCGTATCTGCGCAAAACGCAAGGAAACATTATCAATTTATCCAGCCTTGTCGCCTCTATAGGCCAGAAAGACGCAGCTACCTACGTAGCAACCAAGGTGAGTTTTTCTGTTTGTGCAAATGAAAGTGATCATCTTGAATGTAATAGCAATACTTCCATATTTCCACAAGGGGGCGATCACCGCCATGACTAAAGCAATGGCTGTGGATGAGAGTCGCTATCAAGTGAGAGTCAACTGGTGAGTGACATAATTAAGCGGTTCCTTACTTTTTTTATTTATATATAAACTATTCATTTATTTTTTATGATCCTACTGAATTACCATCTGTGAACACTGTTTATTAATTATATTTATTAACTGGCTTTAAATTCAAAATCTTTCATAGCATCTCTCCAGGCAATGTAATGACACCTCTGTGGGAGGAGCTGGCTGGCCAAACCGAAAACCCTTCTTCCACTATTAAGGAGGGAGAAAATGCTCAGGTAAGTGTTCAAAAGGGCAAATGAGCAATAGAAGAAGCTGGTGTTCTGCTGGATATGTTGTAGTAACAACTTTCTACTCAACAGTTGATTGGTCGAATGGGAACGGAGGCTGAGAGTGGATTAGCTGCTCTTTTCTTGGCAGCTGATGCCACTTTCTGTACTGGGATAGATTTGTTTCTAAGTGGAGGGGCCGAACTGAACTACGGCTTCAAAAGCCAAATTCCATAACTGAACAATAATGGAAAGGTCCTTAAAATGATAATGGTTTCATTCCTCCTCTCAGACAGCTTTTTAGGTGCTTTTGAGGCAGTGATGCTTCAAAATGCAGCTATTTATTGACACAATATGAGATTTTGGTTAAATTTTTTAAGGTGCTTTTGTTAAAGTGCAATTATACAAATAAGTACTGTGAGTAATATTAATTAACAACTTGTACTTACTATATGATTAGGGTTTGGTTTAGGGTAAATTACTGATAATTATGTATGATGGTTAGGTAAATTTTGTATACCTGACCATTGTTACATTTAAAGCCATCTGTAATTGTTTGCATTTCTAATAGTAATAGAATTTTACTATTATAATGGAGGGGGAGGATGTTATGTTTTGTACACAATTTTAATTAATCTAAAAGCTTTTTAATTTTTATTAATGCAAATATTACAGTAGTTATATATGAAAGGGACCTGAACTGTAATTTACATTACCATGAATGAGCTTGCAAAGACTGATGTTTACAAGTAATCATTTCCAGGCATGTGTGTCACATGATAATCTGATTTTAACTGTAAAGTGTAATTGAGTGTTTTTTGAAACTTAATAAATGACTCTTGATAGGATGTGATTTCATACTGTTATGTGGTTCATACTGTTCATACATAATGTTACTCATGAGGGCTATGTACACATACATTGTATTTCTGCATTTTTTTGTAGGCTACCAATTAAAAAGCTGAATTGTTGTACACGTGTTGTCAAATTATTTTACTTATTAACTAGAAAAAGTATGACAGACCCTCTTTAACATGTCCAGTGCCACTCAAGGGATTATTCTGAGATAATGTAAGAGAAATAATGTGTTCTTGTTCCGAGTCCTTTGACATCAAAATGATACAGCCATTAAAAGAGCTAGCAAATACTGAATTTGAAAGTTTGAGACAGAAAATTAAATCAATTAAATATGCAAATAGAAACTGGGTTTCAGTCTTCTGGGAACTATAAAGCTACCAACACAGGGGACAGGCTATATATTTATTTGTATGACATCATCATCTGAAGGTATTGACATAATACATATTTATTTGAATTTCTAAAAGCCAATCATTAAGCCGGATTGGAGTCCAACGCCTCACATACTAACCCATGAATGGAATGTTTCTCTCATGACCTTGTTTCACCTCGTAGATTTGACCACAACTCGTTTTATCCAATAAGATACGAGAGATCCGTCACTCCTACCCGAGGGTTAACCCTTTGATGGACGGGAATTGTTTTGTTTGTAATATTAATGTATTTTTAAATTCATATAAAGATGTAATGATATAATCAAATCATATTTAATCAAGTTTATCGAATGAGTGGTCAGAAATATAAAAGTGTTACTCATTTAGAAAGTTTCTTGAATCTGCCTTTTGCAGGCTTATCCTAGTGGCATAACAAATAACAGCATTAAGATATTTAGAACAAGAATTTTGATGCGAATATCACACTGACTTGTGTGGAAAAGGATGAGAATAAGCTTGACTGTTTTAAAACCCGAGAACATTTCCGTTGTTCTTCAGGGCTTCAATCCGGAACGCAGAGATCAGTCAATCTGGGGCAGTTGCTCCCACTCGGACTAGTTTACCATTCATCTTTCAGCAGCAATGGCAGCGCTCAGGACGGTGAGTTCAAAGATCAATTCACTTATCTTCGCCACCACATCTCCAAATCATTCTATCAATAATTAATGGCTCTGTAAACACACTCGACGTGTGTCTGGAGTATATTTAACAGAACTGTATTAAGCAGATTTAAGCTGCGAATCATCGACGTTGCAAATCGACAACACTCAAATTTCAATCACCACAACAAGTGGAGGAGGCATAATTTTAAGTGTTTGTTTTTATATTTTGGTTAAAACGTTTTTATTTTTTTATTTCTCTGAATTTCTGTTTTCAAAAGTAACGTCACCTGCAAATCGCTAATGACTGCAGCTTTCCACGTATTTCCGGATGCAGACTTAACATTCATTAATTGACATAACTGTTATCCATTTATGTTGTCAGCATGTTTTTATTTAAAAAATAAAATGAAATAAAAATATTACTGGTATTTTAATACTATGAGGCTGTATTTTCAATTTAACTATTTGTTAGAGAGAGCTCTTGTAGGCTATTCATTACAGTAGTAGTGACCCATTTCTTTTTAGTTGATTATTCACGGGACATTAGTGTTCCTTTGCTTCTAGTCACAATCCAACAAGTAACTTTTTACTGGTTAAAATTTGCAAAAAAAATCAAAATGGTTCTGTGACGTATCTACTAATTTCCAACTAGTATGTAGTCCTGGTGCTGGTGTCTATTCCTGTTTTACTTTCCATTAGGTGTTAGTTCTTATTTGTTAGTTACATTTAACTAAATGTTCAATCTTAATAGATTTTTTTTATATTCAACTAAAAGATTATGACTAGTATTCATTACATATGTTGGGGTAAAGATATGTTGACAAGTGAGATAAGAAATCATACTAACTGAATTAGATGGCACTCTCCAAGTAGATACTAAGAAATATGTACTACTACTTTAATCAATAGTTAATACTAGTTATAATTGGAATACTAAACAGTGAGTCGTTTCAACTTTTACCTGGATTCTATCCACATTTCTATTTGTTACCAGTACCATAGGTGTTATACACGCACGTAAAGGATTATCAGGAACACCAGTTCAATTTCTTATTAATGACATTATCTAATCAATCAGTCACATGGCAGTTGCTTCAATGCATTTAGGCGTGTGGTCCTGGTGAAGACAATCTCCTGAACTCCAAACTGAATGTCAGAATGGGAAAGAAAGGCGATTTAAGGAATTTTGAGCATGACATGGTTGTTGGTGCCAGACGGGCCGGTCTGATTTTTCACTTCTGCTCAGTTACTGGGATTTTCAAACACAACTATTTCTAGAGTTTACAAAGAATGGTGTGAAAATGGAAAAACATTCAGTATGCGGCAGTCATTGTGGGTGAAAATGCCTTGTTGATGTTAGAGGTCAGAGGAGAATGGGCCGACTGATTCAAGCTGATAGAAGAGCAACTTTGACTCAAATAACCACTCGTTACAACCGAAGTATGCAGCAAAGCATTTGTGAAGCCACAACATGCACAACCTTTTGGCGGATGGGCTACAACAGCAGAAGACCCCACCGGGTACCACTCATCTCCACTACAAATAGAAAAAAGAGGCTAAAATTCGCAAGAGCTCACCAAAATGGGACAGTTGAAGACTGGAAAAATGTTGCCTGGTCTGATGAGTCTTGATTTCTGTTGAGAGATTCAGATGGTAGAGTCAGAATTTGGTGTTAACAGAATGAAAACATGGATCCATCATGCCTTGTTGCCACTGTGCAGGCTGGTGGTGGTGGTGTAATGGTGTGTGGAGGATGTTTTTTTGGCACACTTTAGGCCCCATAGTGCCAATTGGGCATCGTTTAAATGCCACGGCCTACCTGAGCATTGTTTCTGACCATGTCCATCCCTTTATGGCCACCATGTACCCATCCTCTGATGGCTACTTCCAGAAGGGTAATGCACCATGTCACAAAGCTTGAATCATTTCAAATTGGTTTCTTGAAAATGACAATGAGTGTACTAAAATGGCCCCCACAGTCACCAGATATCAACCCAAATAGAGCATTTGTGCCCTGGAGCTTTGTGCCCTGGATGTGCATCCCACAAATCTCCATCAACTGCAAGATGCTATCCTATCAATATGGGCCAACATTTCTAGTTGAATCAATGCCACGTAGAATTAAGGCAGTCAAACATAGTAGTGTTCCTAATAATCCTTTAGGTGAGTGACCATAGGCTTGACCATACCTGGATAGTGGCTAGTAACAAAGAAGTAAATGCTAATTTAATAAATGTTTATTTTTGTTGAAAAAGGTACTAGAAACTATTGGGTTACTTTCTATTAATTAAAATAAATACTAGTTGCAATAATATAGGCTAGTTTTTTTTAGGCACGCCGCACTAATGGTCAAGCATCTTTCCATAAGACGCATTGTTTGCCAAATTATCTACAGAGTAAGAGTTTAGAGAGTTTGAGACCCAACAGACCGAGCAGCAAGCTATCGTGTAGCCATGCTACATTATTTATTAGGCAAACAAATGCCTAATAAAACATGCAAAGAAAACGAAATAGAAGAGGAGCTTATTGGTGTGCGTCTTAGTTTATTGAGGAAAAAAAGTTCCCTCACACTCAAGGATTTTAGCTATTTAAAGCACCGTTACTGTGTGACCCAGCTGTCTCCTTCTGCATAAATACAGGTATACAGTTGGTACATAACTCAACCTTCACATCTCGTGAGGGCTAAACAGCAGCTGTCAAAAACAACAAATGAAAGGAAATGGTTGAAGTCACACTCTGTTTCTGTGTTTTAAGGCACTAAATGGACGCTTTCTTCATCCTCTCTCCCTGTCATGTGGATCGTTGCGGTTCGTCAGTTCCTCCTTCAAGGTATTAAAACAAACCTGTCGAGCCAGGTTCACGCACCACTTTTATTTCTGTTTCACCAGCCTGGTTTTTGGGAATTTGTGCAATTATTTCAGTTTTACCTCAGAGTCGGTACAATCACATTTTTGGGGGCAATGCAGATCATTTTCAGACCTGTACATTTTTACGGCTCATCTTGAGTTGCAGTTTCTGAAGTGTTAAGCAGGCCACGGTGTCGCCTTGTGGGATCTGACGTCTCTTTTCTTTGTGCCTTTGCCCTCTTGCACGCTTTCTTTCTTCCAACAACCCCCTTCCCTTATTCTCACTGCAATTTAATTGAATTCAATTTCTATAAGAGCTTGACTGGCATGATGAATCCAGATTCATTTTTCAAATGCATGTGCAATCAATGATAATGAATAAACACCTGTCCACATGCCTGCTGTACTCCCCCGCCCCTCTCTGTCTTTTCGTTTTCTCTTCCTCTTTTTCTCTCCATGTTTGTTTGTGTCAGGCTGCAGATCTTACTATAGAGAGGAACCCTGTACTGAAGCCAAAGCCGGACCCTTCAAGCCTTGTGTTTGGTAAGCAGTTTTCAGACCACATGCTGACCATCAATTGGTCTGCTGCAGGAGGATGGGAGGCACCTCAGATCAAGCCTTTCCAGAATCTGTCCCTTCATCCTGCTTCCTCAGCCCTGCATTACTCCATAGAGGTAAGGGAGTGTGTGAACCACATGGTTCTTAGCCCCTTTTTTTCATTTAGCCAAAAACTCCTCTGTTTTTACCTGAATCCTGTCAGATGCTCCGCACCAAGACATATAAAAATTTAGAAATATAATGACTGCACAATTGTTTTTCTCTATATTTTAATTGCAATTAAGTTATAAAGGTACTTATCTCATTTATTATTGTATTTTATTTCATTTATTTTTATTGTTTTGTGTGTGTGTTTATAATTCATAATGTTCTTTTTACACATTTTATAAAATATCATTGATTAATATATAGTTAATTATCCAGCTCAACCATGAAGGTTATGTGCAGTACCGCTCAAAAGTTTGGGGTCAAAAATTAATACTTTAGTTTTATTCATCAAGGATGACTCTTATTTAAGTGACCTCTTTTTCTAATGCTGAACTTTCTTTTCATTGAAAGAATCCTAAAAAAAAATTAATAACCATTATTAATAGAGTACCAACAATATATATATATATATATATAATTATTAATATTTTTTTTCTGAATTTTTCTGTTCTTCTGTTTTATTCGCAGCTATTTGAGGGCATGAAGGCCTTCCGGGGAGTAGATAACCATATCCGTCTCTTCAGACCGATGTTGAATATGGAGCGAATGTACCGGAGCACTGAAAGGAGCTGCCTACCTGTTAGTCTTCATCTTATCCTATTAGGCGTTTACAGACCTACTTTAGTTTATTGACTGATCATGCTCTTTGATATTATCACATTTCAAATGAGCCAATCTGTGGACTGTATCTCTTTCCATCAACATATTCTCCCTCTCTGTCTTTTCTAGTTGTTTGATAAGGCCGAACTGGTGAAGTGTATCAATAAGCTGGTTGAGATCGACCAAGAATGGGTTCCTTACTCCACAGATGCCAGTCTGTACATCAGACCTACGTTTATAGGAACTGAAGTAAGAAACCTTAAATATTCAAATATACACTCACCGGACACTTTATTAGGCACAGCTGTTAATCGGCCAATCACATGGCAGTACCTCAATGCATTTAAGCATGTAGACATGGTCAAAACGATCTGCTGAAGTTCAAACTGAGCAGCAGAATGGAGAAGACAGGTGACTTTGAATGTGGCATGGTTGTTGATGCTAGATGGACTGAGTTTTTCAGAAACTGCTGATCTGCTGGGATTTCCACGCACAACCATCTCTAGGGTTTGCAGAGAATGGTCCGAAAAAGAATCAGTGAGAAAATATCCAGTGAGTGGCAGTTCTGTGGGCAAAGAAATTCCCTTGTTGATGCCAGAGGAGAGAAGAGAATGGTCAAACTGGTTTGAGCTGATAGAAAGGCAACAGTAACTCAAATAACCACTCGTTACAACCAAGGTTTGCAGAAGAACGCACAAACACATCGAACCTGATGTGGCTGATGAGGCTACAGCAGCAGAGAACCACTCCTGTCAGCTAAGAACAGGAAACTGAGGCTACAATTCACACAGGCACTCCAAAATTGGGCAAAAGAAGATTGGAAAAACATTGCCTGGCAACAACGGTTCAGGCTGCTGCTGGTGGTGTAATGGAGTGGGGGATGTTTTCTTGACACACTTTGGGCTCCTAGTACCCATTGAGCATTGTATCCTCTGATGGCTGGTTCCAGTGGGTTATCGCGCTATGTCACAAAGCTCAAGTCATCTCAAACTTTTTTCTTGAACATGACAATGAATTCACTATACTAGTTAAATATCCTCCACAGTCACCATCTCAACCCAATAGAGCACCTTTTGGATGAGGTGGAACAGAAGATTTACATCATGTATGTGCAGCCGACAAATCTGCAGCAATTGTGATGCTATCATGTCAAAAATATGTTAAATATGTCTGAGGAATATTTAAGAAATAAGGCCGTTCTAAAGGCAAAATGGTGTTCAAACCAGTACTAGCAATGTGTACCTAATAAAGTGGCCAGTGAGTGTAATGTTGAATGATTTTGGTCTTTTCATCTTTAATTGTGACCATCCTTCCTTTTTTTCAGCCTTCTTTAGGTGTGTCTCGAGCTGGTCATGCTTTGCTCTTTGTCATTATTGGACCCGTTGGACCTTATTTTGCAACTGGAGCCTTTAGTCCGGTGTCTTTGCTGGCAGATCCTCGATACGTTCGGGCCTGGAGGGGCGGCGTTGGAGAATACAAGATGGGAGGGTGAGACTTGGTCACATATATATTCCTCATTAGCATACGAGCATAAACATTGTATGAGTGGTATAACTGTGAATAAAATGAAAATATTTATGAAAAACCATTTTCTCTGGTTTGTACTATTTCTACTATTATTGAATGAGCAAAAGCATTTCAGATGTTACTTATTTGCATTAAACTTGTATCCAGTTTCTCATTGTTGCAGCAATAGTGATGCATTTTCTCGATTGTTTAAATGGTGAAGTCATGAATTGCAGAAGAGCAGTTACACTTCGGCTGGAGATTTATTTGTTTGTCACTCTCCATTGCCCTTTGAATGGTTCAAAGTAAATGTTGTTGTTGTTTTGCACCAATGTGGAGTCCTAAGAGTCGATGTTCACATTCAGGTCATTCAGAGAATTTCAGCCTTGCACAGGCTGCATTAAGCTAGTCATGTGCTTATGTGGATTGTTGTAAATCCTCAGTGGTTTTCTGACCCTTCACACTAATACAGCTCTGGCTTCTGTTTATATTCTGTATCTGTCTCAACTCTCTCACCAGTCCTTGTCTCACTGTCCCATTAAGTATTTGAACTCCACTTTAGCAAAGCTTTTTGCTGCTGTCCCGTATTGTTCAGATAATGTGTAGACAGCATATGTCTGTTTATATTATGAATCAGTGTTTTCACTCTTTGTTATAAACTTCTTCCTTTTCGAATGTTTGGTTTAAACATACTAACCCATTGTTTTTGTGCCTTGAATGCAGCTATGTAATTGTGGTTTTATGGTTCCCAGTAACTACGGACCGACAATCGCCGTTCAGAGCGAGGCGGCCAGTCAGGGTTGCCAGCAGGTCCTCTGGCTGTACGGAGACAATGAGGAGATCACTGAGGTCGGAACCATGAATCTCTTCATCTACTGGACCACAGAGAAAGGAGGTGAGAGTAGCTTCTACAGGGTTTCTGAAGGTCGTAATTCACCCTTACACAAATTAAAGGTATAGTTCACCCAAAAAAATTAAATTAGCCCATGATTTACTCAGATCCAGGAGGAGGAGTCAGATCAAGATCCAAGGGGTGGAGATGGGTAGGATTAGGGTTGGGTTTAGGCATCAGGGGGCGGAGTTGGGTAGGTTTAGGTGTATATAAGGTGGAAGGAGTTGGATCTGGACTCCTCCCCATGGATTTCATGTTCTGCAGTGAGAACCATCTCAATAATTAAGCAGGGCGGCAGTGGCTCAGTGGTTCATGTAGTAGTCCGTTAGCAAGACACCTAACCCCCTATGCTCCCAACGAGCTGGATGGCGCCTTGCATGACTACCACCACTGTTGGTGTGTGAATGAGTGAGTGAATGGATGAATGTGAGGTAAAATGTAAAGCACTTTGGTGGCCATTGGGTCTGTGAAAGCGCCATATAAATGCTGTCCATTTACCATTAAAGCTCAACTTGTGATGTGAGAAGTAGCATAAATTTCAGCAGTACGTCACATTACTCGCATAAGTTTTCTTTTTAGGGGTAGGTTTAATCTAAGGGGATAGAATATACAGTTTGTACAGAATAAAAACTATTATGCCTATGGAGAGTCCCTGTAAATCGTGTGTATAAAAATACCTTACAGGGTTTCTGCAGTTCCTGTCCGAGATAGCAGGAAGTTAAGATATGCAGGCCCAGAAATGTAATTTTTAACATTATATTCATTATAGAAATCGAAAATAAGTTGTGCTCTTCTCTAAAATATTTACTTTGCTAGAACTTCTTCTTTGTTTGTTATATTTCTGTGTTTTATTTTCAATCCTTATTCGATAATCACGAAGAGTGGAAAATCTATGGAAATAGATTTATCAAAAGGTGTGGGAGCCCTGAAGAGACAAAAAAGTTGACAAAAAAGTGTTAAAATCAAAATAGATATTGCTTTTGGTTTATTTCTCACTCTCAGAATAGCCAGGTCAATTCAAGTTCATTGCATTGTGGGATATAGTTTCTCATGCTGCGAGCCCTGCTGTATATTTTGGCAAGATGTTCATTCAGTTGATAGTTGACAGTATTCCATGTGGAATGATGATGCTTGTCTCCCCCTGCTGGCGATACGTACTAATGTATCTCAAACTATTTTTGGACATTTGTGTCTTTGTAGAGAAAGAGCTCGTCACCCCTCCACTTGATGGCGTCATTCTTCCAGGAGTCACCAGGCAGTCGCTGCTGGACCTCGCAAGAGAATGGGTGAGAGAAATATGAAAAAATGCTGAAGAAAAAGTGAAATGGAGAGTTGCTTACAAGTGAAAGGGATTTTGATCAGGGAAGGAAAATTAGATCTATCTATTTATCTATCTGTCTATGTATCATATCTATATAATCAAAAGGTTTGCTTGATTAAAGAACTATATTTATACGCTAATAACAAAGTCAACGATATAACAATGATACATTAAGGACATGTGCCATGCTAACACCATGCTATTCTTTTAAATACTATGAAAATACCATAGTATATGACTCAGGAGCCCTTTTTTGACCAAAGAACAATTCTTTTTCATTTTTGGTTAATGCATTTTTCCAAAAATCTTGCCACAGCATGCATATATAAATATATATATATATAATATGTATGTGTATATATACATTATTATTTCAAAAAAGTTTTTTTCAATATACCATTTCAATACTAGAAACTTTTTTTATTTCAGGTGCATAGACAACTAAAAACATAGACATGTGTTTTTTGTCAGAGAGCCAGGTGTGGCTCACGATTCAGTTTCCCAACAGCTGGTATATGACTATGGTAATCGTTCCATAGCATGTTATTTAGTTTAGTTTATCAAGTACCAATATGTCTGTTGTCATACCTGTGTCATGATTCCACCACAGTACGATTTGTAACGGTTGTGTTTCTTTTTTTAGGGGGACTTCAAAGTGACAGAGCGCCAAGTATTAATGCAGGATCTGATAAGCGCTTTAGATGAAGGACGGGTTCTGGAGGTGTTCGGTTCTGGTACTGCGTGTGTGGTGTGTCCAGTCGGCAGTCTGCTCTACAGAGGAAAGGTAACAGGAAGTGCACACTTCGGCTCTCTAATGCAAATGTCCACTGAATGCATTTTTACAGCTAAATAAAAATGTTGATAATTTATTTGTACCTAATAGGAAATTTGTTTCCACCGCAGATGCGTACATAACATGACATAAAATGTGTTAACTTATCATAACACAATCAACAATCAGACATATCACAAAGCATAAGATGATGTATCAATGGCCAATTTCCTATGTATTTAAAGCTCATATAGCTACAGGAACAAAACTCTTACTACACATAGGTAATCTATACCTATGGTCAGAAGGAAGGGGAGTGAAATATTGATGGAGTGGGTGGTTTAGGTTATTTAAGATTTTATGTGCTTTACAGAGCGTGAATGTAAATACACTGTCCGATTTTACTTGATAAATAGGTTATCTTTTGGCAGATTGGTAAATGTTAACGGTGCTATAGATGACTAAATATTTATTATGAATTTCTTAAAAAAAAAAAAAAAAACTTTAACAACACATGGGCAGATCATTTGAGCGCATCTGATGAGCGTCATCAGTGAAGTATGAAGTGACGCTCAAGTGATCAAGTATTCCAATATATAAAAAAGCTTTCATTCGATTCGTCTGTCCTCCATTTTTCCACCCAACAGCCTTTCCTCGCATCCTACAAGGGGTGGAGCTGAGACGTGAGGAAAGGAAATGAGGATACACCAATAAGAATTGAGAAGCACCCCTAGAGTGTGCTGGCTTAAGTATATTACTAAACTCTTTTTTTTTTAGACCTACCAAATTCCTACAATGAAGAACGGTCCAGACCTTGCCAAGAGATTCCATAAGGAGCTCACTGACATCCAGGTAAAATCCTGTTACTTTTGGAATTACTCTTGAATTCATAATACATTCATAATTTTTCTTTTCCATCCTAAACTTCTGCTCTGTTTCTTCATGTGCAGTATGGGCGCGCTCAGAATGATTGGGCACCACTGGTCGTCTAACTGATCTCATGCAGGTTTCGTGTCTAAAACCTCTCATCTCACGTGTTTGTGTGGACTAGATTGACATGGGTGTTATTCTACAGTAGCAACAAACTTTCTAAATGGAAAACCACCTATTAAATATTTAGTCTTTCCAAATGACTTTACATCCTGCTTGCACTAGAAATCGTCCTGTAATCTTTCAAGCACAATCGTCATAAGCCATATACAAGTAGCTATGTACAAAGGCACAAGCAAATATGTTCTCCTTGATGTAGTTGCTGGTCCTGTCTTTAAAGGTTGTCTTTTGTTTTTCCAATCAGTAATGCGTTCACCATTTCCTAAAATAAACGTAACTATCATCATTTTATATTGAGGGGTAAGAAATCAGACATTTGAGAAGGATCAGACTTCAGCACATATTGATGTTAATGTAAATGTTAATTCGCTGAGGCTGCTTGTTTATTTTGTGTAATGTAAGAGAACACACTGTCATGCTTTTCTTACTATCAAGGGGACATTTGGGGGAATTTATTCATATTGCTTCCATTTAAACCCGTTTTCTTTTAAAATACACTAAATTGGTCTTATGTCCAAAATGTAAAGAAACTGTAAATGATTGTATATGTTTATCTAGAGGAGGATGCTACTTTAAGGACAATATATTATCACCAGATTTAGACGATTTAAAACCGTGAGCTGAGCTTATGCACGCACAAAGGGCTTCAGGACAGCCCAGACATAGCAGCTCTAGAGACCACTAGAAAAAAAGTTGATGTGATAATAATAGGTGATCATCATTAGGCTGTGTGTGTTGACTATATGTTATCTGGAACAGCAGTGTGACCTTTACATGTGTGTGAAATATGTAATGTTTGCTGAACATGTAGAAGTGATTGGTTTTAACTTATTTCTGGTGTCATTTTAATGGTTAAGGCTAGAAGACATAGGCTGTCTTTTTTATTCTTTGGGAACAGAACACCCTCTTATTTCATTTTTTGTCTTCATTTTAAACTTGTATTTTAATCCGTGCACTCCACATCTCTCTTCTAAGTGCCTGATGGAGTTGCCTGTTACTTCATCTGTTGAGTTATCTTTCACATTTATCATTACTGTGCTGAGGGGGTTGCTGTTGTGTTTGTTTTGGTGGTTTTCAGGGGAGATGTCTTTACTTTTCCTGTTACTGTATTTTTACAAATAAACTCAATTTGCGTCCAAATCTATAACATGCCTATTGCTTAAACCACTTGCAAACCACTTTTATTTGTTTCATGTCTAGTTTGCTTTCATGCGTGGTTTCTTAAGTTATATTTTGTTTGCTGTAAAATGTTTGGTGATAATCAAACTTTTTTTTTTTCGAGAATACTTTTTGTGTTAAAGTCGTTATTTTTATTTGTTTTTTCGCACAAAAAGTGTTCGCGTCGCTTGATTAACTTATAGTTGAGCCACTGTAGTCACATGGAATATTTAAACATTTTCTTTAATGACTTTCTGGGCCGTCAAGTTTCAATCCCTTAGGAGTCTATGTAGCAGTGATCCACCTCTCAAATTTAATCAAAAATATCTTCATTTGTGTTCCGAAGACGAACAAAGGTCTTACGGGGTTGGTACAGCATGGGGGTGAGTACTTAAAGACTTAATTTTCATTTTTGGTTGAACTAACCCTTTTATATTTGCTAATGCTAACACTTTATTTTTGTGTTACTATAAAATATATTTTGCTCAAATACCTATTTTGTTGAAAGTACCATTATGATTTTTTTTTTTTCTGTGACCGTTAAGCACATTTCCGACAACATTTCTCATTATTTTAATGCCAACAAAATGTGCATTTATTTAAATAGTAAAATATGAATTCTTCATGGTAGTATTTGTGAGACTGCCTTTTTATCTTATTGTAATATAAAATTGAACTGTATTTTCTTAATAGCTATCTTATTAGATATAATCACTAAAAGTAAATTATAAAAACATTTTATTACAGTGATGAGAATGAACTGTGTGAAAAAAATCTAAACAAAGTAAGTGTCATGTAAAAGAAAATAATTGTCTTAATTTTGCAGAATATAATTTTTCTTTTTTGTTTTGGGTTTGGTTTCAATAGGTTCCTATTACTGTATCATAAACATCACAATGATGGTTTTGTCACATTTATTTAAGACTTTGTTCTTTTTAAGATGTTGTTGTTTTCACATAAATAGCAATATGTTGTGATTCAGATTAACCCATACAACTCAATCTGACAACATTTGTATAATCAAAAGACAAAGAATACAACTAAGGATTGTAAATAAGAAAAAAAATTGCATCCATGTTATTATATAACGTATAGACTATAAAGGATAATGAGGTACATATTAGATCCATACTCTCTTTTTGCAAAGGAGTCCCAAATCAAAGTTCATAAAGAGTTTCATAGTCTATAATGAATAAATTCTCTATTTTGTCATCTACAGGCAGCATTAGATCTCTGGGCTGTAGAGCTTTATTAGCTTTCTCACTCGGTCTGGCTGTCTTTAGGAGAGTCTTCTTCAAACAAAGCCAGGGTGTTGTGGCCCAGAGGGTTGTAGAGGATGCCTTCCACCTCTCCGCCACCATTGGTTGTCTTCTGGAAGTGGATCTCCAGGTTGTCCTGTAGGTTGTCTTTCTCCATGATGTCAGGGATGCCCGTAAGAAGCACAGTGCGCAAGGAATCAGAGTTGCATATCTGAGAGGGAGCAACAGTCAGTTTACATCATTAACAACACCGGTATTAACAGTTTTAAAGTATCGTGATGTACCTTCATCTGTGAAATCTCGCCATTGAGGAATGGAGTGACCTTCACCTTGTACTTCTTCCTACCAAAATCTACCTCATGATCCTGTTTGTCTGAGAGACGTTTGGCAACTGAAGACAAATAAGAAACAAATAGAAGAATTAGAAAAACACTTCTAGCATCTTGTGCTGAGATATGTCAATTTGCATGAAATTGGTTAACATACTATTATCTTCTACGAAGGTAATGACCACAGTGCCAGAGTCATGCAGCATGTCTGTGTCCTCCACCTCGCCGCCTCCGTTCTTCTTCCTAGAAAAATAGATATCCAGTTTGTCCAGTGTTCTGTCCTCAGGTTCTTCCTTTGGCAGGTTAGAGACCAGGATTCTGTGTGGGCACACCTGTGTTTCCATCTAACAGATGGAGAGAGAAAGAGTCATGATATTCCATAGCAACACAATGCAGTCCATAATATACATACAATCCATGTAGGTTACCTCAACATAATCAGGTACCAGGAACTGAATGGGTTTAGCCTGCACAGTGATGGCACAGTCCCCAAGCTCCACCCTATGCTCCTTCTGGCTCAAGATTTTCTGAGCCACTAAAGATGCAGGATCAGAAGAGATTTGAATGAAGGAAGAGAAGTTAATAAACCATAATACACAAAAGCCTGTGGGTTACAGTGATTTAAAAAAAAAGTCTCAGTGTTTTCTGTTTTTGTCATGCAATGAAAATAAAAAAAAACACTAGCTGCCTTACATTTTTAAGTACAATCAGAATGTCATTTCAATTTAAAGGGATAGTTCACTTTCGAATGTTAAGGGTATCCAAGATGTAGGCGTTGCAGTAGTTTCAATTTTAATATTTTTCAGTCAAACCGTTCATGTCTGTCAGTCATATAATGGAGGTCTATAGTCACCACCTCAAAAAGCATGCACAGAGAAGTCCAAATAAAACATGATTTAATGACTCGTAAATATAAGCACACATTGAAGGCCTAAGACACAAAATGAGCGGTTTGTGTAAGAAAATGAATTTATATATCTATTTTGTTTTTATCTCTTGTAACCACAGCCACATCCATGTGATCTGAGAGCACAGGCGCTTCAGACTGCGCAAGCACCGGAAGTGATCTCTCGCGTGTGTACGTCACTCATTGTTTACACAGAGATTTAGGAAGTGTTACCTTTCACTGTGAAGATCTAAACATATTTAGATATACAGGAAATCGCAATCGAAGACGATTTTGATATATCAACAGACAGCGTTGAATTTTTTTCATGACGTAAAATGTTTCATGACGTACATTTTGTGATGTACATGCGCAAGAGATCACTTCCGGCGCTTGCGCAGAGCGAAGCGCCCGCCGGGCCCTTAGATCACTTGGACGTGGCTGTGGTTACAAGAGGTAAAAGCGATATAAATACTGTTCATTTTCTCACACAAACCACTTGTTTCATGTCTTAGGCCATCAATGTGTACTTACATTTACGAGGTATTAAATCATGTTTAATTTGGACTTCTTTGTGAATGCTCTTTGAGGTGGTGACCTTCTTGTCTGTCAGTCATATAACCTGCATTATGTGACTGACAGACAAGAACGAAGAACAATGAAACTACTGCGGAAACAAAGACACCTACATCTTGGATGCCCTTGAGGTAAGCTAAAACATAAAAAAAATTCATTTCAAAGTGAACTATCCCTTTAAATTGCATTAAACTGACTTAAAAAATTAGTTGAATCTACTATAACTTAAACAGTTGAAAATCAAACTTATTTTGATGAGTTAAAGCAATGTAAAAACATGTTGTAACTTATTGATCATATATTTTTTTACAGTGAATACTTTAAAACAATAATAAAAAAAAATCAATATCATATTTTAACAACTGTTTTTTGCAGACACTATTGACTTTCATTGTATGGTCAAAACACTAGAAAAATTACTTAAAATATCTTATTTTGTCTTGTGTTTATTTTGTGAAAGATAATCATACAGGTTTGGAATGATGTTGTGTAAATGAGTAGAATTACAGTTTATCTGTGATAATGCTACATACCATCCTCTTCCTCAAAGGTGATCAGTGCTGTTCCACCCTCCATCGGATAAACTATACGGGAATTCACATCGAAACTCACAGCATGTGCACCCTCTTTTGTCTCTCCTTGAAAAACAACTCTCCTCTCGGGCACCGCTGTAGAGATCTGTGGAGTCAACGTACAGCCGTGTTAATCTCACAGTTGATGCATTATGTTTCCATGGATTTTTTTAAGCCAGCATAGAGATTTTGGGGTCAATTGTATATAAATATATAATTTTATATATTTTGACACTGTAAACCTCAGTTTGTTTTTTCAGACTGCTGTTTTTACGGTCCAGGCTTTGCAACTCCTCCTTCATTTTCAAGATGTCCATCTGCAGCCTGCTTTGCTCCTCCTGTATATTACTGCATTTCTCCTGTACAAAGAGGAACCCATTAACATGAACTTATATAGGCTATTATGTGTAGCCTATATATTATAATACAGACCTTTTCTTTCTGAATTGTCTTAGTACATTTCTTGGTTTCTTCCTCAATTGACACTTTCCTCTCCTCAGCTCGTCGTCTAAATTCCCTGGCAAAGTTTTTGTTATTTTCAATGCCATCTTTCAGAATTTTTTGTTCGTTCAATAATGATTCATGCTTTTTCTGCGGACAGAATGGACAATGATTAATGCCTTGAATTTTGGTTGACAGGTATCCAGCTTAACAAACACAAACCTTGCATTTTTGGATCTCCTTCTGTTTACTGTCCAAAGAATCAGTGTCCACAAGAGAGAAATCCTGAGTAGAAAGAAAAGACAAACAGGGTCAAGGAACTAAATACAGACTCTAATGTAAAACAAACAACAACAAAAAACCTTTGTCAGATCACTTCCTTTACCTCAGTAGACATTTCTACCAACGCAAGAACCTGTGACCAAACAGAAAGCACTGTTACCCAAGAAGACAGAAGATCATTCTTTTTAAACTATGTGATTCTTAAAATATAGGATTTTTTTCCGTCCGAATTGAGCTATTCCATTTTATAAACTAGTTACTAAAAGCTTTAGTAGGCTTTTAACTTGACGTCGCAAAAAAGCGATATGAAACAAACAGGAAAATACACCTTTATAAAATAGACCACATTTAGTTCGTTTTCTTCATTCTTTTTTTTTAATTGAAATATGCTGACATTAAACAATTTTCACTTGCGATATAGGCTATGCTGCGTCTGTCGCGACTACCTTTTTAACAACGACAAAACACAGTAAAATAGACGAGTTGAGTGACCTATGACTTTTCGGTAAAACCACACTATAGCCTTCTTTTTTGTTGTGTAGCCTAATTATAATTCATTTTACAAGGCTAATTATAAATAAAAAGGTAAGACAACACACATACCGTGATGAAGTAGCCTAGTAGAGAGTTTCGCTTTCGTT